TACATTCTAAAATTTTATTATCCATCTGTTGAACACATTTTATGTAATAATTGGTCAGACAGATATACCTACTTTGTGTTGTAAAATAAAACTTTATTTCAATCACACATATTAACCCTGTTCATCATATTTATCACCATGACAGGTATTGTCAATCATAAAACTTGTAAATATTTTAATGAATAATTTGACTTGAGCCCTATTTTATACATTCAAAGACAAATTAAGAAAAATTAAATTTATTTACCTACTAATATAGTGGCTCCTTTCTTCAGAAATGTTCGGGAGCTCCACAGGAACCCTAAGGTACCAGATATTAAATCCGTAATGTAACTCTCATAAGAAGAAAGCTGGGAATAAAACAGTAAAATTACTCTCTTAATTGTTGACAAAGCATATTTGCTTCCTCTAGAGAAGAGTCAAAGTAAGAGACCTTAATTACTTAGTTGTTAGTATGAAAATAAGACCAGTTTAAAACTTGGAGATTTGTCTGTGTGAGCTATACTCCTCTGGCTGCTGGCAACCACTATTCTATCATATCATTCCTTAACCCAGCATTGTTTTTCTAACCTGTAATTAGCACCCTCTCATCTCCCCTTCTTTACCCTTATTCATACTGGGTTTCAAAAGACCAGCTCGTGAGGTTATGGCAAAATAGTTTTCCTTTGGTGATGTGTAGTGTTCTACTCAAGTTTGTATCTACCCGCAGGTCAAAATAAGAGGAAGAAAATAGGGTGATCAATGTTGAGAGTGTGAAAATTTCTTTCATCTAAAGCTCTTACTATAAATAGAAATGTTATCTTTTCTTCACATTCTTTCTACAAGTTCCTCCTTTTCATCAAGTCATCTGTCACCACTTGTGTGATCTTTAAGTTGTGCTTATGATAGTTAAAGCAAAGGGCTACTTACAAGGTTGTTGCAGATGCTGAGAACCACTGACTCAAAACAGTAATTTTCCTCTTTGAGCAGATGTGATATTGACCACTTTAGTTGTGAGAAACAGATAGTTAATGTATATCTGCAAGCCTGGGAGAGAGAAAAGATCAGTCAGGCTTGATTTGCTGTTACATAAAACACTCTGCTGGGTTTAATTGAGAGAAATAAGATTATGTAAGAAAGTTAAGAAAAAAAGGCTCTTACATTCACAATTCTTGTTTCGTTAGACTCCAAAAACAGGAGCAGGGGCACAAGACTTCCTATGATTACATGGTTTAGCATCCGTTTGTAATGACTCATATCCAGAAGCAATTCACCAAAGTGTCGAATGGCCATGCATTGAATGTCACTATTAACCTGGACCATGCACACAAGTAAAAATTAAGATTTCAGTTGAGCATATCAATGCTACTTTCTTTAGTGGTAGTATATATGTATGGTATGTATACATACATATATAACTATCATTTTTAGTAAAGATTGAGCTTGTTAGAGCTTTTTTTTTGTGATAAGATTTGACTAACCATTATTCCCAATACCCAAGATATAAGTGCCCATTAATAGATGAATGAACACACAAATAATTTGAGACATAATAAAAGAAAAGATTATCACTGCGACAGTAAGGCTAAATCAGGAGGACATTACACTGAGTGGACTCAGCCAGTTATAAAAAGGAATGTTTCCTGATCTCACTTACTTTGCCTTCAACTTAAACTTATAGGAACAGATGCTTAGGTGTTGTAGGATATTTTGATCACACTCTGAAATTCCCGAGACTGATGATAAAGTTTACTTTGAATCAGAGGGTAGATCTAGCTACTAGCTGACCAAATTAGCCATAGAGGTTTTGGAGGACTGAGGACATATGCAGAGACACTGGAAGTAGTAGGGGTTTAGAAAGATTCTTGGCCCTTTTTGAATCAAGGAAGGAGAAAGAGAGGGGGTCACTAGTTGTTTCTCCTCTGCTTCTCTGATCATTCAGATATCTGACTCTCAAGTTTTTATTGATAAAGAATAATTAGATAAATGCTTCATTTGGCATCCAACAGGGGGCATATGCAGCTCTGGTACAACTGGCTTCTCCTCCCTCCCCTCAGGTCCTCTATGCAAGTCTGGGGTTTTCCCATTGCAGCCTTTCTATGGCAGCTTCCAGTTGCTGCCCCACTCTGGCCCTAAGCACCATAGGTGGCTGGGCCCCGAATGCCACTGGAGTTAGCTGCCCACCATCAGCCAGCTCTGTCATTCAGGTGGCCCCATGCCCTCACTTCCCACCACATTCTTCCACAGATCCTCCTAGGCTGGCTTTTCAGGCTCCTTCTCCCCATGGGTTGAGGGATTCCCCTCAACTCCCTTCTTGGGCCATTGCCGTATCAGGTGGGCTGTCTTAATACTCACTCAGGCTTTTACTGCTACTGCCACAGCCACACACTCTCAGCTCCTAGGTTCAGGGGAGCAGCTGCAGCTGCCCTTGGCCAGGTTGTGCATTCTCTGCCCAGCCATGTGGTGCATCAGTAGCCAGCCTTACACTTCACTGTCATTATCAGCACATCTGGTGAGACACCTGAGAATTCTTAAAGGGGGAATTAATCTAAAAAAAAAGGAAGTTTTTTTTGCCCACATTAAGAATGGGGAACAATATTAAGATGCAGTGAATTAGGTCTCTGCATGGGTCCACAATGGAAGGTTTGACAATGAAAAAATTAGATGAAGGGATAATCAACTTAGTTGGGATTGACATACTGTTGATTGTAATAATTATCAATTTTGTAGTTCATGTTCTATACTTTAAAATGTGGTTTGACATTGGTGCCAAATATGAAAAAATGACTGATAAGATACATTCCTTAGAAAGACCTGCTAATGAAACTAAGAAAAATATTCACACATACACACAGAGGAGTTTAGGGCAGATCTTACTTCACCATTGTATTATGAAACTGAAGGTGAGTGGCTCAAGGTTATTTAGAAAATCAACCTTAATTTATCCAGCTACCATTTAAGAACAGCCATCAGATGATAGGTATCTCCAAGGCTATTAAGAAGTTAACTGGGATACTGCAGAAATGTTAGATTTGAAGAGATTTAAGGAAGCAGTAGTTTCATATAGTATGTATTCACCTTTTGTGAAGCAGATGTTAAATTCATAGGCAACTCAAAACAGAATTACTCTACAAGATTGGAAATATTGAGGTACAGCAATATTGGAAGCTGGTCCTCAATTATAATGGAAAACATGGTGGAGAGAGGAGCAAAGGTTACAGAATAATGAAGTAGGGCTAGAGGTATTGAAATTTCCCAAGATTAGCTCCTCAGTGAAGGTCAGTATGCTGATTTGTAAAGACAGATTACATTTGCTGACCACACCTTGGCTTTATATGGTATAGCAGCTTTGAATGCTTGAGATAGGGTTGAAGAATCATGAAAGAGGACTGAGGCATTTACTAAAATTATACAAGGCCCAAAAGAAGTCTTTACTGATTTTTTTTTTACACAGATTGACTTCAGCTGTAAAAAGAATGTTATCAGATCCAGAAGTTGGACAAATGTTAGTTAAATCTTTGGCTTTTGAAATACTAATTCAGAATGCAAAATTGTGACTAGACCTTTACGAGCAAGATCTGCATCAATAGATAAATGGATTAGAAATACAGCTGATATTGGATCTCATAGTTATAATGATAGTAGGATAGGAGAAGTGATTTTTAAACATTTTAAGAAAAATCAAAAGGCAAGAAATTTTAATTACAGTAAAACAGGCCATCTGAAAAGGAATTATAGGCAAGGTGGTCCTAGAAACAATGTTTTGTCTAGAGATTACCCAAACATAAGGCCCCAGACTTCTAGAATATGTAGGAGGTGTGGCAAAGGCCAGCATTGGACTAATGAATGTAGATCAACATAGGACAGGTAAGGTAACCCTTTGCAATCAGGAAGTGCCTTAAGGGACCTCTCACAGGCCCCCATGTCAAATTTGGTTCAATCGTTCCCTGTTAGCATCAGAGAAATTCCTCCACAGAGCAATTAAAAGACTTAATGCCTGTTTTAAAAATACACTGCTCTGGATGACAGAACAGCATCAGTAGATAAAACCAAATTTTCAGGACAGACAATTAAACAAGTATTTTGGCAAACATCTATAAATGATCAAAGATCAAAGCTAAAAATACAAATAAGTGGTGTTATGATGGAAGGTTACTAGATACAGACATGGATGTAACAACAATTTCACCAAAATCTTGGCATCCAGATTGGCCTCATCAGGAGGTAAATATTTAGCTTTTAGGGATTGGAACTTTATCTCATGTAAAACAAAGTGTATAGGGCCAGAAGAACAAATAGGAAAATTAAACCATATGTGGCTAACATAGCAATGAATTTATGGGGATGTGATTTATTACAATAATGGAAAACCCAGGTTAACATTCCTTCAATCTTAGAAACAAACCATAAACTAATATATGCTTCTGAGAAAGATATTTAAAAAGTATTATAAAGAACAGTCACTGACCATTAAGGTATAACATAAGCAGGGCACAATAGCTGATGATCTTTCAAAGGTACCAACAGCCCTACCTTTAATATGGTTAAATGACAGATCTGTCTGAGTGGAACTATGGCCCTTGACATCTGAAAAATTACAGGTCTTAGAACAGCTGATACAGGAACAGCCAAATGCGCAATATACTGAAGTCCTTGGAATTCTCCTATATTTGTCACTAAAAAGAAATCTGGGAAATGGAAATGGTAACAGATCTAAAAGTTATTAATAAGGTAATCCTGACAATGGGCCCTTTACATCCTGTAATTCCCTTTTCTTTTTTATATTGCCTAAACGATGGTTTATTATAGTGATTGGTTTAAAAGACTGCCTTTTTACTACACATTTGCAAGAATGGGGTTGAGAGAAATCTACCTTCACGGTGCCTACTTACAAAAATTTCCAGCCTGTTAAAGATATCAGTGGAAAATTCTTCCACAAGGGATGTTAAGCAGCCCCATCTTGTGTCAATATTTTGTACAAGAGCTGTTGGAAATAATTTGCAAACAGCTTCCTCAATCTATATGCATTATATCTTACTGGCTGATTAAGATTCAGATACTCTAGAAAAAATGCTTGAAGAGGTAAAGTGAATTTTGCCTTTTGGGGGGATTACAAATTGCTCTTGAAAAAATACAAAAAGGAGATTCTATTAATTACCAAGGATATAAGATAGGTTTGTTTACAAAACATTCAACCACAGACAGTACAAATCAGGAGAGACCAATTACAAATTTCTAATGATTTTAAAAAATTGCTGGGAGATATTAACTGGCTGTAGCCCACAATTGGATTGACAATTCAGCAACTAAGTAATTTATTTCGAACCTTACAAGGTGATAAGGACCTGAATCGTGCAAGAAAATTACCAGCTGAGGCTAAAAGAGGACTGGCTTCGGTAAAAGAGAAATTACAGGATTCACATGTGGATTGCTTGGATCCAGAGCTTGATTGTATCCTAGTCATACTACCTTCTATGAATTTTCCTGAGGCTATGGTTCTGCAGTACTGGTACCTTCACATGCTCCAGCAGGTCATAGATTCAGTAGAGGTTGGGATAGGCCAACTCAAATCCCTGAATGTGGGCCTAGGTGGTAGCTGGTCATTCCAGGCCACTGAGATCACTCCCCTCAGGTGAGGGACAGAGCCAGCTCTTTTTTTTAATGCCAAGACCATGCTATTTCAGCTGTGTAGTGTAACTTGAAATAAAGGATAGTGATAACATCAATAGCTTTTTTTTTTTTAATGGTTCATGACCATTTTGGCTATTCTGGGTTGTTTGTGTTTTTATGTGTAATTTAAGATGATTTTTTAAAAATTTCTATGAAAAATTATGTTGGAATTTTGTCAGAATGTTGAGGATTAAGAATAATGTTGAGCCGGGCAGTGGTGGCACACACCTATAATCCCAGCACTTGGGAGGCAGAGCCAGGCAGATCTCTGTGATTTCGAGGCCAGCCTACTCTACAGAGTGAGATCCAGGAGAGGCACAAAGCTACACAGAGAAACCCTTTCACAAACAAACAAACAAACAAACAAATAAACAAAATAATAATGTTCACAAATGTTATTGTGGATGTGAGGAAAGGGGAGTACTTATTTTCTGCTGGTGGTTCCTCTATGGTAAGGTGTGAAGGTCCTCCCCCCCCCCAAAAAAAAAACAACCCTAAAAATAAATCTACCACATGACCTACCTATATCACTCCTGGACATATCCCCAGTGGACTCTATATTCCTACTATGGAGTTACTTGCTTGTCTATGTTTATTGCTAATCTAGTTACGATAGCCAGGAAATGGAAACAGTCTAGATGTCCATCAACTGATGAATGGATAAAAATAATGTAGTATATTTACACAATGGACTGTTATTTAGCTAGTAAGAGAAACAAATTATGACATTCACAGATAAAAGAATAGAACTGGAAAGTAGTGAGCTGAGAGAGATAAAGATCACATATCTTTCATTTGTAGACATTAGCTTTGAAATTTTAGCTATGAATGTTTCATTTGGAATACTCATAGTCAGGAAATTAGTAAGGGCCATAGAAGAAGGACTTTAAAGTGGGGGATAGAGAGCAGTAGTAAAAATGCTTAAAGTGGATTAAGGAACAGGAAGGATTAAATTTCTGTGAGATATGGGAGAGCAGGGTAGAGGAAGAAATATGGGGAATGTTATTTAACACTAAAGGTCTTTCAAAAAAGTAATATAAAATCTACTGCTGTAAAAACTTTCTAATATATATATATATATATATATACATATTATATAAGCACATGTATTTTTATATATGCATACTAAAATAGTTAAAATGGAGTTTCCCTATAATGGGAAGACAATGTTTCTACTAGGTAACACAGGCTAAGAAACAAAAAGCTCAATGGCAGGATCTTGGCTAATGAGGTCCCATGGAACCACAGACATTACAGGCTGTTGCCAGTGCTCTAGGTTACCACCCAGAACATAATGATTAAGATTCTGTTTCTGAAGACGGCATGTGCTTGAGTCACAGAGCATGGAGAATTCAAGCTGGTGCTGACTTGGAAGCTCCATCCCACTGGGTAGTTTTTATGGTTCCAGAAGAGAAAGGCTGTGAACTTGTGAACTACAATACCATCTCCTCTGGCAAGACATGCCACTGGTGCAATAGTGGCATGCTCATCATGGAATTAACCAAATACTCTAATTGGATTTAAGTCCAGAGCCACAAGAAGAAACTTATACTGGTGCCATTATCAGGCCAAGAACCTGTGGCCAGACAGGTCATAGACCCTACGGGAGCACCTAATACTATTCTGCTGCTAAATAGATATAGTACGAAAACGGTTTCTAGTTACTGGGATTCTTAAGAGTTTAGTTCCTGGATCTGACCTTAAGACTTTCTCCAATTAACCTGTAAATTTCAACCAAGATTCTTGTTTTGCAAAAAAAAGCTTGCTTCTGTTATTTTAAATATTATTATTTAATGCAATTGTCTATAAGTCCTGCCATTCTTCCTCTTTTCTATTTACCTTTTTAATTAAGAAAAATCTGTTTAAGCTATTGAAGAGCAACTCTACAACCATTTTAGGCTCAGAGTTGAGGTTCTGTCATGCATTCAGTTATTGATGCTTATTTTCTTAGCTTTTTGAATTGGGTTTGTTATCAATAACTTCCGGAGATAGTAATTGGAGTCACTTAGCAGGAGTCTGGTTCATAGAAGGCCTCCCTACGTTGTTCTTTCCTCTGTCACATCTTCTGTGTTTACAGTATGATTCTTTTAGTATGGCAGTACTAACTGGATTAGTGGGGTATGAAAATAAGTCAAGAAGCTGGGATGGGGACCTGTTGGGAGGACATACATAGGAAAAGTTGGATGGGGAGGTATATTGTGTTATATTTCATTATATACATCAGTGGTTTCCAACCTGTGGGTTGCAACCCCATTGGGGGTAGCATATCAGATGTCATGAAGTAGGAACAAAATGATTTTATGATTGGGGCATCACCACAACATGAGGAACTGTATTAAAGGGTCACAGCATTAGAAGTTTGAGAATCACTGGTATGCATGAATGAAATTCTCAAGAATAAAGAAACATTAAAATATGGCTGGAGAGACGGTTCAGCAATTAAGAACACTGGCTGCTCTTTGAGTTCAATTCCCAGCAACCACATGGTGGCTCACAACCATCTGTAATGAGATCTGGTGCCCTCTTCTGGCATGCAGGTGTATGTGCATACATAACAAATAAATTTTAAAAAAGAATTTTATATGAAAAAGAAACATAACAAAACAAAACAAGATCCTCTATGTTAATAACAAACATTTATTGGAGGTACTGCACATGTCAACTTTGTAATCATGCAGCAAAAATGGTGTATTTTAATGGAGTGCAATAATATGGAACAGGAAAAATATTTTCAAAGCAAAATGTAATTGAAAGAAATTGTAAGTCCCTACTCTTTGACAAGTCAGTTCCCAACTGAAAAAATTTTACTTATTTTTTATTCTTTGACATTTTCAGGTATGTGTATGATGAATTTCAATCATTTTTTGCCTCCTGTCATTTTCTCATCTCTCCTCTTTCTGACAAAGCCCTTCTTTTCCCTCACCAATTCTTCTACTTTCACATCTCATTCGTGGAGTGGCCCCTAAGTTTAAGTAAGATTGCTTGCATGAGCGTGGGTAGGAGGTTCCTTACTGAGGCATGGGCAATTGATCAGTGCATCCACCAGTGGAGAAAGTTACATCTTTTCCTCTAGACACCACTAACGGGCATTAGTCCCTTAGGGAAGGACAGGGCCTCATGAGCCCTTCCTCCTTCCACGATGATATGCTGACAATCTCAGTCTTGCGTGGGTCTTTTGCAGATCTCCACCGCTTCAGTAAGTTCATGGGCACAGTGGTTATGCCATGTCCAGAAAACATCATTTTTCAACACTGTGCTCCATTTTCTGGCCCTTGCCGCGGTCTTTCCACCCGCTCCTATGTGACGTCCTCTAAGCCTTGGAGGGGTGAACATATAAACCCTTAACCATATAATAAACCTACTTCTGTATCTGTTTTACTGCTGAGGAAACTGATGTACCAAGACTCAGAAGAAATCTCTATCTCACCATGATATCAAAGGTAGAAGGGGAGTTTACACCCACCCAGTCCAGGTCCAGTGTTAATCAGTGTAATCACTAAGCTGAAATTTATCCGGGGACAGATAGCTATCTTATTCTAGGATATAAGATCATCCTGCCATCTGGGGATTAACTGAACCACAAAAGCTAATGGTCTCAGATATCTAAATTACATAATGTCACTCACATGATCCATAAGAGGACAGTAGCTGGAAGCAATCCTGGTACACACCGTGGAGTAGATCGTCTTGTCCAGTTTGGTCAAAATGTTTCGGAGGGTGAGCATGGCCCGGATGACCACAGTGTACTCTTTGGAAAGAAAAGCATCCAAGACTGGGAGTAACAGGTTGCAGACGTTTTCTAACTATGTATAAAAGGAGGAAAACAGTAGAACTTTGGTACTAGGAGGCTTGGGCTGATAATTGGTATGTACACTTCTGAGTTTAGCTGGCCAATTCACAAGTCTTTATAACTGTTAGAGGTTTTTGTAAACTAAATGCTTTTAAAAGTCATTGTTAAAAATTAATCACACAAATTTATAATTAAGTAAAATCAGAAGTGGTATTAAAAAGTGATCAATTCTAAAGTCTTTTGCTAGTATGTATTCTGTTTTCTACATTCTTAAGGCTACTTATGAACTGTGTATGGATGATTGGAAAAATAAATAGTTATATTATGCATTTCTGCCTAATTCCATGTTAAATAACAAGCATTCGATATCTTGAAATTAGCCGTAGTAAGGATATTCATATCAGAAAATTTTGATTTTGTTTTTCAGAGATCTGGTATTAAATATTTACCAACAATATCTGGTAGTGTGGTCTCTAAACATGAGAATGAAATGTTTAAACAGAGGAACTAAAGAGCCTCAGAGACAAATCAGAGTCAAAGAGAATGGAATTGTAAGGAAAAGAGAAATGGGAGACACCAAAAAAGTAAAAGAGTAACTTTAAGAGTTACTTTAAGTAACTTTAAGTACACACACACACACACACACACACACAGAGAGAGAGAGAGAGAGGAGAGAGAGAGAGAGAGAGAGAACCGAATCAGTGCCTAAATGTACCTTTGTCTTTCTAGGAAGTTAGGTCTGTATTGTTTCTCTATTATTGTCCTTCTTACTTGGGCATAAAATCTCCCTGTTATAAACAACATGGAAAAGAATTTTGGACAAAGCAGCAAATAATGTTCTGCTTACTAAAGAGTAAAAACAAACACTCTTATTGACTTGTATTTTTTTTTTTTTTTTTTTTTTGGTTTTTCGAGACAGGGTTTCTCTGTGTAGCTTTGCGCCTTTTCTGGAACTCGCTTTGGAGACCAGGCTGGCCTCGAACTCACAGAGATCCGCCTGCCTCTGCCTCCCGAGTGCTGGGATTAAAGGCGTGCGCCACCACCGCCCAGCTTGACTTGTATTTTTTTAAAGCTGATGAAATTCTAAATGCAAAGATGGGTATCCACCAACAGGCTTGAAGGCTATGATCAAATAGATAAACAAAGATTTATTATTAAATCCATTATTGAATTAACAATGATTTGTGGTGCATCTACAGTTTCAGGATTGTGCAAGATACTTTGAAATTTGGAATTACAAGACATGGGGGCCTGATTAAATTTATTTGAACTGAAAAGCTATTCACATGTGCTAGTGGGAAATGATTTAAGATCATGACTCTCACTGTTACCAAAGGTCCTAAATAGACAGATCCGTGGACCACAACCCAGAATTTCTGGTTCTGTAGGCTTGAGGAGGGCACAACAATTTGCATTTGTAACAATTTTCCAGGGGACTTTGATTCTGGTGGCTCAAGGACCATACTTTGAGCCTCACTGTTATGTTATAGAAGAAGTGTTCCTAGATGGGGTTGCCCTCAGAGGGAGGAGGCTGCTAGAGGTTAGAATATTCAATAAAGTCTGACTTGAAGTGACCATCAAAAAGGGCAAAGAATGAAATCATGTATAAGTGAGGGGAACGTATTATAAGTGGATGGAAGACATCTGGTGGGTGCCCCAAGGAAGAAGTCAACGAGTACAGAAATACAAAGAGGGAATGGGCAGATGTTTGTGACTTAAACTATAAGGAGAATATTCACTCTGAGCAATGATGATAAATAAATTCTGAGCACAAGACATGATTTTGTGGAAAAATTATGAATAAAAGGATAAACACCACTTCGTTGGTTTATATTCTCTCTATTCTATTGAGTTTCAGACTTTGATAGTTTTAGCTGTACAGAAACTGAAAAAGCACCAACATTTTATTACAAGACATTGAACAGTATCAAAACATTCAATCGTGACACACAAAGTTCATACTTCACACATACACATACTTCACTGAAAACGGGTGCCATGCTCGCAATCTTCTGAAGACTCATTTTGCCAACTGAAGGATTGGGATCATTAATCCAGTTTCTGAAGAGAACCAAAAATTCCTTCGGTAATGATTCCTTGAAGAAGTTGTTCAGAAGCTTTAATAAAAAAAATGCACTTACTAAATTAATGAGTGGAGTCAGGACTCCTCCTCGCCACCTCCCCTTTGACTTCATATATCATTTACTTTCTTAAATTTTTATGAGAAAGGTACTTAGAGAGGGAGATGAAATGCTGGAGTTTTGATTTAAGTTTATTCAAGGTATGGGAATGAAAAGTCAGTTGGTCACAATCTACTATTACAACTCACTTCAGCAAAGAATATTATTGTGACGATACTGTCTTCTGACCTTCTAGGGCCTTCTACTGCAACCTTGTAGACATAATGCAGGGTCTCTGGAAACTGTGGAAAGTTACATTCACTGAGAGTTCTGTAAAGGAGCAGAAGACACCAAATTAGCAAAGAAGGGAAATATCCTTCATTGACAAGGAGTCAGTTCTTATCTATGTACTATTGACTACCCAGATTAGAAAGAAAGTTGTTCTAAAAGATTCCCTAGTCTAAGGTAAACTGCAGCATCACTTCACAATCTAGATAGACCCTGGGGAATTATACAAGCCTGAATCTCTACAGCAATTCTTTCCTTGTCACACCTCCTTTTCTTTTCTCCCTTATTTTTCCACATTAGGAGAAGCCTTATTTCGGCATTAGCTACCACCAGTCCTTGACTAAAAAGAGAGGAAGTATATACCTAAACAACAATCCAAGGTAACCACACAGGCTATGGGTCAGCTTTGTGGCTTTGGATGGTGCTCTTCCTTTTGGGACAACTTTAGGTTACTTGACAGAAGGGCCGGTGAGTTCTGAGTCACTAAAACCATTTTCCAGAAACACTTAGGGAGTGGCCAGGCTTTGAGTTTTCTTCATAAACCATCCTGAACCCAAGTGGTAGAGGGAGGATATTGAAGGGTCATATGACAAGTTTCCATTTCAAGCTTCAGGTCCTTTTGCTAAAACCATAAATGTGCATTCAAAACACACAGAACTCACAAATATAGTTTTACTTCCCAGGTGATGTTGCTGTTAGTCTGTGGACCACATTTTGAGGAGTACTAAAAAACAGGGTAGTCTATGGCCATACCATCCTGAACACACCCGATCTCATCTGATCTCAGAAGCTAGGTAGGGTTGGGCCTGGTTAGTACTTGGATGGGAGACCACCTGGGAATACCGGCTGCTGTAGGCTTAAGAATAAATTTATATAAAAAAACAACCAAAATAAAAAAAAAACCAGGGTGATGCTTAACTAGTGACTACTTACAGGGTGCAAACATACCATATTTTTATCATAAGATATATTAACCTCCTTTTTGGTACAATGTGGGAGGGTGCAGCTTATATGGGTGTCAGTGGCTCCAGGCTGGATGGCTAGCAAGATGATGGACCTTGTTTTATAGTCTTATGGAGGACTTAGAGATTCTGAAAGTTATCTTCACCTGTATTGGACCATATTTTAATGGTCTCTGTCTATATTTTCCTTGCATTTCCTACCCATGAAAACACCTGATTTTGAAGTTGCAAAAGGTCTGGTTTTTCAGAGTACATAAGGATAGAAATTTATTTCCCTACACAATCATGTTGTAGGAGCTCATGTATCTGTGGGATTTTTCCTAGAACACCATCTTTTTCCCAAACATCTATATAGGCAAAATTGATGAAAAGCAAACCAAAATTGTAACATTTGCTTGTTATATTCATTAATGAATGCTATGTATTTGGAGATGATCAAAGTCATACGACATGACTTCTTTTGTCTTTGACAATTTCAAAAAATCTAAACATAGTTTTCATTTAAAATATATGTTCCCAAAGTACATATGCCCACACAGTACCAGTTTTAGAAGCATCTAAAGCCCATGGATTACATAAAAAGTATTCTCTGAGTCAGACACAATTGCAAAGTCTCATGTCACCAAGACCCTGTATTCTTGATTTTTTTCATTGTTGTTCAGAAAATCTGACCCCTATAACCAGAACTGTTAAATAAAAACAAATTAAACAATCCCCCCAAAAACATTTCTAATTCAGGAAAAAAGGTTCCATTATATTTTTGAGAATATGTTTGGCTTATTGAGTACAGATCTGGCACTTTTGAATGTCCACAGAGCAGGGATCAGCTAATATCAGAAAGGAAAACATCATATTTACCTTAAGGTATTTGTATGTGAAAGAGGGACTAATGTATGGGCAGATGGTTATGGATGTATTGGTAAGGGGAGTAATGCTGGGTATCTCTATCATTAAGTAAGAGGAAAAGAAGAGGAAAGCTATCTCAGAATAAATCTTTCAAATAATCAAAAGACAAATGAGAAATCAAGTGGCAATATAGGCTATTAGGAACGCTTTCAAAGATGTGTTCCCACACGAGACACCTGAAGGAAGATGGAGATGATGCAATGGAGAGCAAGAGTCTACCCAGAGTGCCCTGCTCTTACTTTGCGATGAGGTGGATCCCGTACTGGTGATCCATGACTTGAGAAAACTGGTCCCAGAAATTCTTTTTCTCTAGAGCGTCATCCACTTCTTTTAGTCCAGAGCTATTCAGCAGAACCTTCAGGCCATCTCGTACATAGCTAAGGCCCAGAAAAGAACAGACATTCTAGGACAGTGACCTACACATAACTGAGTACATACAACTTGACTTTCCATTCTATCTTGGAAAGAACACAGTTTTAGAGAGAAAGATACTCTAGGGGATGGTAATTGTTAAATGTTTTCATCTTCCCTGATGAACAGTGCATGGATTTCAAAAGTTAAAATAAAGTGGTAGCACATAAGATTTAGGTTGAATCACGTTAACAGCTTGCTTTCTTACCCAGAAATGTAATGACTTGGAAGAACTATCAATTTTCTTTGGGGGGATGTCCTACATAAGCAGGATAGGTTCCTATCTTTTTAGGGGTGGTTTGGTGTGTATCTTTTTAAAAGGACAATGAATGGATTAAGTATTTTAGTGAGATAAGTTGTGCTCTGTTTGGCTTAGATGTTCATACCAGACATAGAAAATAGCTGACAGTTGTACTGTGACTTCCCTTTCATGGCAAGAAAGCTACCTCTCTTGTCCAAAAGGAAATGGTGACCTTTGTCCTGAAATGGAGGACTGATGTCATACTGCTCTCACCCACAGCGTAGTCACATCAAACTATGACATACTTTCAGTTTACAATGAATGTCTGCACACAGTGTTCTGGTACACACATTCAGTAACTCTGAGAGGTTACTATTAGAGAATGTGGAATGGCAGAGCTTGAACATATCTAGTTTTGGATCTAATGGCCCTTTCTGCCTCTTCCTCGTCTCAGTGACCTGACATCAGGTGCACTGGGAATGAACAGTGTTCTGTGCTAGGGACTCTTTTTATGTGGTGCACATATGGAGGGGAGATTCTAGTGAATGGTCATGTACTCAGGGGGATTGCTTTTCTGAAGACACTCTACCCTTAGAGAGAAAACTGGAATAAATGTGAGCAGAACTTCACATAGGCTTATAGCAAGTCCCACATAAACTCAAGTGAGTTGCTGGACCCTCACCTCCCCATTTAACCTGAAAGAGTACTCCCATACATGGATCTGTTCTGTGCCGTGTCTTTTAAAAGCTGACTACAGTAGAAGAGTTGAAGCATGAGGGCCATCAGGAACTCGGGGAAGAGCTTGGCCACCACTTTCTTATAAGATTTCACCGGTAGAAATGTGCACAGGGCCTGAGATGCCTATTAGGGAAGGAAAATGGAGTTTAAAAAAGGCAATTGTCACCCTCCAAATACAGAGGGCAAGAACAGCTGCTAATCTTCCCAGCCTCTGTCATCCCATGTGTTCATTCACTCAACTACACTCACTAGTTCAGTTGTAAAGCAGGAACTGGGCCAGGCATTCTTGATAAAGAGATTCTGAGGCACTGTTAATGGTGCCCTTCTAGCTGCCAAATTTGTGGAAAAGAAGCTGGTCCTCAAGGAGGGCTTATATATAACCATGAGGAATTGTCTTACTAGTAAGCAAAGTCTTTTTAAAAACCTCCTTGAATCACTCAACCCCTGCATCATGTCCCCTACAATACTCACTACCATCCATCCATACATCCTAACCCCTCATATCAATAAACACATCAATAAAATGGCACCCCTTTTCATTACATTTCTCTCAGTTTCCTCTCAAATGTGGTGATGCTAGTCCATGGGAGAAACGTGATAGACACAGATATCAGACATGGACTTGACTGCTAAAGTTTATATGACTTAGCTGCTGGCCATCTCTCTACACTCAAATAGAGTTTTGCCCTTGGGAAGTTCCCTCAGAGTCTTTGGCCTTTTTGCCATATCAGCCACATCCTGACAGGTGTGGTGGTTTGAATGTAATTGCCCCCCCCCATAAGCTCATAGGGAGTGGATCAGGAGGTGTGGCCTTGTTGGAGGAAGTGTGCCACTGGGGGGGGGGCTTTGAGGTCTCCTTTACTAAGGCTACTCCCAGTGTCATAGTCTGCTTCCTGTTGCCTTCTGATCAAGATATAGCTAGCATCGTGTCTGCCTGCATGCTGCCATGCTCCCCGCTATGGTGATAATGGACTGAACCTCTGAACTGTAAGCCACCACCTCAATTAAATGTTTTTCTTTCTATGAGCGGCCATGGTGTCTCTTCACAGCAATAGAAACCATAGCTAAGACAACAGGATATTTGTTCTGCTTTCTGTCTTTCTGAGATGCATATAAGTACTAACTTGAAGCATCCCAGGATTCTGAGTTTAAGTCATTTCAGTATGGAGGTGTGCCACATCCTACTTACCTTAAACCATCCCGGTCACCTCCTTTCCCTCACACATACTACTATATATTTTTGTTTATCTTGAATGTAAGTATTCAGTCCTTGTCTCTTTATCTTGGCAGAATGCATGCTCTGTGGTCAAGATGTGGTACACATTGAATGTGTTTTGGATGGATGCATGCATGAAAGGGGACTGTGCCAAGGTGGTGTGGCTTAATCAGTGCAGATAGGAGTTTTCATGGTCAAGAAGACAACAGGGAGTAGAAACACTCAGTGTCATTTACCGCCACAGGCATCATGTTGGTAGCATCAAGGGAGAAGCGTCTTCTTTCTATCAGGGTTTCCTCCATCTCCACAGGCTTTCCTTTCAGTATTGACAAGATTGTCTTCAGCACTTGAGGCGCAACACTTGAATCGGCACTCGCTGCTTGCCACATCAGCAGCAGCGCACTGCAAACAAAGGTGTTGAGAGCCATGTGTTCCACTTGCTATTTTAAGTTTGTCACAGCCAGTAGAAGGGAAGCAACACCTTCTTCCCTCTAGTGAATGAATTGTAGAGATAGAGCCGAATAATTTTTCCTAAGCTCTTCTAATGCACCTGTTAGAGTTGTGCTGCCCCATAAACTCAAAGTAGTGGGTTTTGTTCTTTAAGATTTCTTGTGGTCCTAGGTCATGAGTTTCAGATGAACAGTTAATGGGCAGAAAATTCTCAATTAGTTTTAGTAATTTAAAAAAATATTATTTTATGTTCTTAGTTATGTATATGTATGCATGTGGGTACTTCTGGGTGACAGAAGAGGGCACTGGATCTCCTGGAGCCAGAATTACAGGTGGTTGTAAGTCACCCAGTGTGAGAGCTCAGGATTTAACTCTGGGCTTTTGTAAGTGCAGGGCTTAACCACTGAGCCATTTCTTTGGCCCTTAGTTTGGTAATTTAAAATTTGTCTTTATTTTATTGGTGGGTGTAGGGAAAAGAGGCTGGCTAAAGAAACCCACTCTGACCCTGGAGCCTAGAACTAGGGAAAGATGGCTCAGATAAGACCAGATAAGACACACAGTTTGGCTCAGTCAGATCAGAGCCATCTCTGCCCCTGGCCAACAAATTTATGAAACCAACCAATCACAGAGCAGGACAGTAGAACCCTAGGCCCCAAGTCAACCACTGGTTGCCTCCCCCCCCCAAGACATCCTGTATAAACTGCCCTGCCTAGTCAGTTAGAAAAAAAAGGCTCTTTTCTCCACCCTGGTAGAGGCAGCTACTCTCCTGGACTCCTCCTTCCCAAGTAAATCTCTTTCTCAAAAGAGTTTTGGGTGTGAAGATCTTCATTCACTGGCATAGAGAAGATCCTTGCTGAGAAGTCCCTCAGTGGACAAAACAAGGGAGAGCTGAAAGAACAGAGCAAGGAGGAGCTGAAGAGAAGATCTTTGCTGAGATGTCCCTCAGTGGACAGAGCCAGAGAAAGCTGAAAAAGTAACACTTTTCTCTGGAGCCTGATGAGATTGCTACATTTCTGCAGGGGCGTTCTCCTTTTGCAGAGTAAAGCCAAAGAAGCAACATCTTAGGCTGGAGAAGCAGAGCTCTGTTAGGAAGCCCCCTTAAATGGGAGTTGAGCAAAGCTCAGCTGTAGCGGCTGTCCAGGAGATGAGCAGGATTGCTATATCCTGTGGGGAGACCATCCTCCATCATACCAGGTATACCCTGACTTTCCAGAACAGTCAGGATACCCTTTCCTGCTGAAGCAGTTTCAGGCATGACTTTCCTGAGAAGTCAGAAAAATTTCCCTTCCAGGCTTGAACTGTCTCCTTGCAGTTCCAGCCACCAGAGCTGTGCTAAACAGCTCCAGGTGTCCAGGACACCTTCAGGGCAGAGCTGTTGTTCTGAGCAGCTCAAGGTGTCCAGGATACCTCGCCCTCCAGGGCTGAACTGTCTCCTTGCAGTTCCAGCCATCAGAGCTGTCCTAAGTAGCTCAAGGTGTTGCCTGACTCCCCAGGTAGTCAGGACACTGTAGCTAGAGTTTTCCTGCCTGGCCCACGGTCAGGACAAATCTCTCTCACCTGCCAGTCCCACAGCCGCTCAGATCCAACCAAGTAAACACCCAGAGACTTATATTGCTTACAAACTGTATGGCTGTGGCAGGCTTCTTGCTAACTGTTCTTATATCTTAAATTAACCCATTTCTATCAATCTATAAGTTGCCACATGGCTCATGGCTTACCAGTACCTTACATCTCGCTTTTCATGGTGGTGGCTGGCAGTGTCTCTCTGCCTCAGCCTTCCACTTCCCTTCCTTGCCCCACCTATACTTCCTGCCTGGCTACTGGCCAATCAGTGTTTATTTATTAACCAATCAGAGCAACACATTTAACATACAGAACATCCCACAGCAGGACACCTTTCCCCAGAGTTGTTGCAACAAATTTACTTACATTGTTGGTGCCAAAACTGGGGACCAAACCCAAAGAGTTGCAACCAATGTACTTACAGTGGGTATTAATAGCTTAAGTCTGTCCTTTATGAATAAGAAAACTTCTATGTCTGGAAGGTTTTGGTCAAGGAAAAAAATGAGTAAATTAACAATGGGCAAAAACAAAAACAAAAAAAAACATTATCTTTTTGAAGCAAGTTTGCCTTGGTAAGATTTGTAACAGAATATAATTTAACCACCCCCCACAGTAATATTGATAAAATCTTGAGGTCCTACTGTGTGCTAAGCATTACACAAAGTTACACATAATACATGATCATACTTAAATCTTATAGCCAGCATAGCTGATTTAAAAAAAAAAGAATTTCTTTTTAGAAAAATAAATTAGGTATGACTACAATAAAGGAAGAGTTGAGCTTGGGCCATATGACTGTGGAGTGTCTGGACAAGTGTGTACAGAGGGGCAAGATGCAAGAGGCCTTACTTGTCTGCAGGGACTGGGAACTCCATGAGCTGAAAGATCACCTTCTTAGGGAAGGCTCTTGTCAGCAGGCTAATAACCCGCAACAAGACAACGTTCATCGGGTGGGAAAAATTCCCATAGAGTTGTTCATAAATGTTATCCACGATTTTAGACACCTGGAAAAAGAATTTCATAGGTCAACAGAAGCATCATGTTCCTTGTTCACCTTTAAGCTGAGACATTTCTTGGTTATAGGAATTCTCAACCTTTATTGGAATGACCAATGTAGCAATTAGCATAAAAATAAGCAAAAGAAGAAAGTATATTTATATTATTACAATGCAAAATATTTAAGGTCAGGAATAAAGTCATATAGTTATGGATATAGGGAAAATGGCTTTAAAAAAGTGGCTGAGTTGAGGTAATAAATTGCTGAATTGTTTTTCTGTTCATTTTCTCTTTGGTTAGTGATTTGCTGTAGTAGAAGTTAGTTTTATACCTCCAGTTTCCTTTTATGGCCTTCCTGCCTGACTCCAGTGATGTGCTATGGCTTCTTCTAGGCTCTCTGAGTGCTCTTTCCTATTCTGTTGGAGAACTCTGTTTAGATAAGGAGATGACTATGGACCTCTCATTTCCCTCAGGTTGTGTTTGGTCTGTGGAATGCTCTTGCCTGCAGCAGCACTGAGAACTCTCTATGAGGTGGTCCTTTTCCTTGCCTGCTCTGTGAATTTGAACGACTCCTCTTAATCTACCTTCTTTCACAATGCATGATTGTGTCAGGAGAGGAAACTATGAGTCCCCTATGTCCATCACTTTCAGGACTGTATTCATGGGATGTGGAAGATCCATTGTTAGCAGATACTTTCACTCGTCTCAAGCTTGGATTTTTCATCTTGAAGTTTTCCATTTTTGATATTGGGTTTTATAATTCAATTCCAATGGGACAATGGAGTACAAGAAATCCTTGTAATACGTGAGGCTTGCATGGTTCCAGTTACATGTAATGTTCACAGTGCTTCATGTGCATAGAATTGCCATGATATGGGGAAGCTCAATGGGAAAACAAGCTGGATACCTGAAGCATCTAACTGAAACTCTAACCACTTAGCTCAAAAACGATGATATAGAAAGGAAGAGAAAGATAGGGTGTCATGGTCTGAGGATGTCCCCCAAATGTCATGTTAGAAACCTAACTCCCAAATGCAGCAGTCTCCCTCCCCCGCCCCCTCTGCTTCTCTGTTTGTTTACCTGTAAGGTAAGGTGCAAGGGGAAGCTGGAGGTTGATATCAGGAATACTTTCCTCTACCATTTCTTTACCTTATGTTTTTGAGATAGGGTGTGTTTGCGCCTAAAGGTTGCTATTTTGGCTAAGCAAAGGAGTCCCAGGGATCCACCTGTCTCAGACCACAAAGGCTTGAGTTATAGACATACTCCACTGGACTTGGTTTTTATATTAGTTCTATGTATCAAACTCAGGTCTCCAAGACTGCTCAGCAAGCATTTGACTCACATTTACCAGCCTCAGATATGAGGCCTTTAAAAGATGACCAGGTCCTGGGGGTCAGTGCTCATGAGTAGTTGGGATGGTTATCCCTAGGAGTGGGTTTTTTGTTGTTGGGGTTCTGATAAGAGAATGAGTTTGCCCCCATCTTCTTCATCTTGCAATGTTCTCTTGCCTTTCCTATTTCTCCCATGAGATGATACAGCAAGGTGGGCCTTGCTAGATAAAAGCTATGGGCTTCCCAGAATCAAGCACTGTAAGACATGAACCTCTATTCACTATAAACTATCCATTCTAAACGTATTCTGTTGGAGTAATACAACAGCAACCTATTTATTTTCTCTAGTCTTTCCTTATTTGTCAGCACATTGAAGGCCGAAAATGCTAATAAGACTTCTTGTCTTGTGAATGACAAGAAGTGAAATATAAATATTTGAGTTAGTTTTGTGTAATTCCTGATAAAACTAACATGCATATTCATATTCATGTATGAACTACACAATACAAATTGCATTATTTTGTTGATTCTGCATTTAAGTTATTCTTATATTCCCTATTCTGTCACGACATGAGTACATATGGACAAAATATTCTAATAATGAAAAAGTAAGTTTTCATTTCACTTAGACATCTAATAGCAAATAAAAATGCCATAAAGAATTGCAAGAGGGAGGTCATAATGTAAAGGGAATAACTAACAAAACTTCATCTTTTTGAATAAGACATAGTTCCATATTTCATGTTGTATTGGACAGCACAAATTTCTTAACCAGTGCCACTCCAATCTGAGAGTCCTTGAAAATGTTCCTTATATGCTACCTGGGAGATTTCAATTACAAAGGTATTTGCTATTATATTTCTCTTTTAAAAACCAGCAAAGTAAACATGGCAAAATGTTCTAACATGATTAATTGTGGTGATATTTTATTTGTGCTGAAATGTGATATTTTATTTGTATGTTAATAAAGTTGCCTGGATCAGAGGTCAAATGGCCATAAAACAGAAGTCAGTTGGTGGTAGCTCATGCCCTTAATCAGATTACATGGCAGGCAGAGTCTCTGTGTGGTCAAGAACACAGCCAAGTGTGGTGACATGAGCCTTTAATTCCAGTACCAACCATAGAGGTCTGGAGGTCTGTATAGACAGGCAGTGATGAGGAAGACATGTGGCTGGGCTTACAGCCAATGAGAAGGCAGAACAAGAAGGCAATAAAAACATGGGTTAGACAGAAAGAAGCTCTCTCTGTGGAAGCTACTGCTGGTGGTAAGCTAAAGCTAGTTGTGGCTGTTTCTCTGATCTCTTTGGCTATTCCCTCTGTATTTGGCTCTGTGTTTCTTATTTAGTAAGACTGTTTAGAAATTCGTCTACAATTGGTAAGTGTAATTCATTGTAACAGTCCCTACAAGTTTCCCTGTTTGAAGCAATTCACAAAAGCTTCATCTGATTAAAGTGACTCAAGGAACAATAGCAAGAGACAGGGATGTAAAGAAATAGAAAGTAAAGCCGAAAAGTCGACTTTTGAGAGCACACTCTGTTCTTAGCTTGCTGTCAACTACATTACCGTGGTGATCTTCTGAGCATGATACTCCAAAGTCAGATTCAGTAAGAATGCAGCCTCAAGTGCTGATTCCTTGTTAGATGAGAAAAGCTTCCTCAGGAGGGTCCACACGAAGTCACTCAGCAAGTGGGGCAGTAATGTCTGTCCCACACTCTGAAATCAAAAGGACATTTGTGACCACCAGTGTAAGCAAGACACCATAGCTTAGCTGTTTCAAGGCAGGGAAGTAGGTGGGTGGGGGGTTCTGGACCAGGCAGAAACACAAGACATTCGTGAACTACAGAAACTGCTTTTCTGCTAAAAAATGATAGCAAGTGTGTCTGTGTTAGTGTTAGTGTAATGATAATCAAAACCCAGGTGTTATTATACAAAACTTATCTTCTGCTCTTAAAACAATTTCAGTGCCAAATATTACCGCATCTTCAACAGTGTGAGAAATAAATGTGGCTCATAGAAGATGCTGGAGGAACTAGGATGAAAGTGTCAAGGTGATGGGAAAGTATACATTTTCTTTTCAGTGACAGAGACAGAGAGACAAAGACAGGAAGAAAGGATGAATGGATATGAACAAACATAGATGTTTCGTATGCCCATGACTAAGGTTCAACAATTGCTATGTAAACAGTTCCTTTTGAAGTTTGAGTACTATCCACAGGCTATAAATGATGCTGAGAATAGAAAGGAGAAAGGTGCCACAATTTCTTTTTTGCCGTTGTATGAAAAACACATCATCCATGCAAATGGAAAATGCCTCTAATCTTACCAATAAAAGATTTTACTTATTGCCTTTAAAGGGATGGAGTACTGAGGCTGGATAGATGACTCAGGAGTTATGAGCACTTGATGCTCTTGCAAAGGACCTGGACTCTCTCCTCAGCACCCACACAGTGGCTCACCACTACCCATAACTCCTGTTCCAGCGGATAGGATGCCCGCTTCTGACCTTCACAGACACCAGACAGGCATAGGGTGCATATACATTCAGACAGACAAAACACTCATTTTTTTTTTAATGAAGAAATGAATTACTTTTCCTTTTGCTCACTAAGGCATGTCTGAGGTCTGAGACAGGGTGGATAGCACCCAGCCCTCCATCCCTAGCCTTTACATACTCAGCAGATCATTGAGGGATGAGAATATTGGAAAGCTGTGTGAGAAAACCAAAGAACTACTGTGGCTTGGAGAGGTAAGTGGATTGCTGTAGTTTGTCCTACTTGAAGAAAGCCAGATATTTTCGTAAAAAAATGAATTTTAAAATACCACCGGAAGTGATCATTTCTTCATTGAAATATTTGTTTTCTCAACAATGGTTACTCTAAGTTATACCCCAAATTACAGAAAAAACAGTTCTCAGTGAAACCTAGAGCTGATATTAGAAGATTTTGTCTTGTAAAGCTGTGGATACGATAGTAGGTCTATTAAAAAGTAGAGTTGGTGGGGACTAGGGAGATGGCTCAGTTGTAAAGTGGTTGGTGTGCAAGCATGTGGACCTGAGTTTGGATGGCCAGCACTCAGGTAAAATCTGGGGATTGGTGATGCATATCTGTGAGTTCCATGCTTAGGATTGGAACAGACAGGTAGCTCCTTGGAGCCACTGACCAGCTAGGTTAGCTGAATTAATCAGCTCTAGATTCAGTGAGAGACCATGTCCTAAAAAAATAGAGAACCAATTGAGGCTGACGCCTGATGCTAACTTTTGGACTCCATGTGATTATAGAAGAATCAATGCACCTCCCCTCACACATGTACACGCACACATACATGCACACTCACACATAAATGCACAAACACACCCACAGGGGAGGAGGGGTGCTCTACCAAGAGCACACTAACCACAGAAAATCATCTGGAATCTAGAGATCTCCTCATCAGTTTATTATTGTTACATTGCAATATTGCATGTTTCTGATGCTACCTGATTTGATGGCTGCAAAATATTCTATAAATTGTTATATCATAATATGCCATGCATTTTTTATTGTTACACATGCTAATTAAAAAAATCTCTGCATGTCTATCCATCATGATCTCGACGTCCCATGCCTGCAGAATCCCTCCTCTCTCCATGGGCAGGCTTTTGGGAGCCCAGTGCCTGTTGTGTGACGCCTTGTGCAGCCTTGGTGCAGTGGGGAGGGGCTTGGACCTGCCTAGGCTCAGTGTGTCAGACTCTGCTGACTTCCCATGGTAGACCTAGATTTGGGGGATGTGGGGATGTAAGGTGGCTTGAGAGGGAGGCCTGGAGGGTGGGAGGAGGCAGGAGGGGGATCTGTGGGTGGTATATAGAGTTAGTAGAAAATTTCTTAATAAAGTAAAATGAAAAGAAAAAAATCTCTGCAAAATCCCACCATGGAGTGGGGGTGGTCAACAGGAAGTCCCACCCCCTAGCTGAGGCACTATTGATAGCTGCTGGGAAAGTAAGGGTCAATTTTCATTAAGAATGTGGCCTCTGGTAAGTCAACCATAGTCCAGGGCAGGCCTAACACCCAAGAGTAATTTGCATAGAACTTGATTGCACTTGATGTTTTTAATTTATTTTTCAAATAAAAACCAAACAGGACACAAGGTTGGGTGGGTAGGGACGTGATGGTGGGTCTGGAAAGAGTTGGGAGAGGAGGAATGAATGTGATCACAATACACTGTATGGAATTTTCCAAGAATAAAACTATTTAAAAATATGTCTGTGGAGAACCCCATGTCACAAACAGATGAATTATTCTGAGATTATTAGTTTGTATTGTATGAACTTATTTTAATGACTGATATGTTTCTCATTCTCCTCTGTGAATTATTTATGCAGTCTTGTCCTCACAAACTGTTCCTATAGAAAAGAGGAGTGACCTGACTTACAAACTGTCTTCATGTTAAATACAGCCTTCATACTTTCGTGTTGTTTTGTAGCCAGAAGTTTTCAGCTACACTGTTTTGTACCCAGCTCCCCTAGTTAACAACCTTACTGCTTGCATCCCTGTTTGCATCCTTTGAACTTAGCGGTGGTCTCTTGAGTGCCTTGGTACAGCTTTGGATTCTTCCCACCCACAGGTTGGTATTCTTGTTGGAACTTTGGATTCTCTCAGCCCTATTTGATCTACTCTGGAGGTCTACATCTCTGTTGTCTAGTCATTGTCCTTCCTTGCCCTGTTAACTCTGAACTTTCTGTGGTTTAACAAGAAACTGAATAACAGATTCAAATACTTGGGTCTAGGGCACTCCAGTCTAAGGAGCTCTCTAAACACTGAACTCAGATGAGAGAGGATCAAACCCAGAGAGACATGTTGATAGTAAGTCTCAAGAGCCACTGGGGAAAAGTTACAAGAAGGCTGCTAGTCCCAGATTCAGTAGCTCAATCATGGTGCTCAGAGATCTATGCCCTAGTATTGGACTGGACAGGAGAGTGTGTGGATGAAGAAGGGTTTGCTTGCAAGCTTACAGAGATTCCCAGTTTCCTTATGGAAATGGACATATTTATATTCAAACAGCCTTGCAAGTTTTGAGGTTATGAGTGTAAAAAAACAAAAACAAACAAACAAACAACAAACAAACAAAAAACCCTTGTCTTTGTAAAGAGGCACCATCAGGTATATATGTATTGCAAATATCCATATGGTATCCTTTGACCACAGTAATCATTTAGGTACATTGCTTTGGCATGTCCTTAGCCTTCCACAATTTTAACCATATCAGCCATTGGAAGAGAATCACTGCTCTATATTTCAAGTCTAGAAGAAAGAGCACCCTAGAGCTTCTTATCCTAAGAGGTAGGCTAACCTGAAGGTCCTTCCCAGAACTTGTGCTGAGCTGTTGGATCAGTATATATGTCTGAAAGTTAATCCACTTGACAGCCCAACTTGGGCCCAGTGCTGGGGAGACTTAAAGGCTCTAGGTAAAAAGTATGAACCATAAAGAATGAAACAATAATATAGAGTTATAGATCTTAATGGTTTCTCTAGGATTAGGATAGGGTAAAAATTATTTGCTTAATACTAAGACTTATCAGCGCATCACGTAAATAGTTTTTCCCTCCTTAAGATGGTATCTCTATACATATCAGGCTGGCCTTGAATTTGCCACTCCAATGTTTCTGCTTCCTGAGTGCTAGAATTATAGGCACATGTAACTATGCCCAGCCCTTTTTGTAAAACTTCATAGAACTTTCAAAAAATAAAATCAAAGTTAAATATCATTCTGATATTTGTTGGGGGAAATTAATCACATTTTAGAAAAGACTTAATTGTTGACTCCATTAATTTTGTCAAAAAATTTGGAAGTTGTCCGGGTGGCAGTGGTGCACACCTTTAATCTGAGCATTCAGGAGGCAGAGGCAGGCAGATCTCTTTGAGTTCAAGGCCAGCCTGGTCTACAAAGCGAAATCCAGGACAGGCACCAAAACTACACAAAGAAACCCTGTCTCAAAAAACAACAACAACAAAAAATTTGGAAGTTACTCACATATTATTATCACTAAGAAGCATCTATATAATTTACATTTCATAACAAGTAGTATATTTTAAATTGCTATATTTGAAGATAGTAGACATAATTCCTAAGTGGCATGAAACTTAGGAAACCATATGCCCTGTGAATCATTTAGTCATTTGTCTTTCTGAATAAAGAAAAGGAAAATTGAGTTATTCAAAACACCATCTTTGAGGAGATAAGTTACTACTAAGGGCAATGATTCATTTCAAACAAATTACATAGAATATACCTGGGCAATTTTGTTTCTGTCTCCTTGCATGGTCTTGGATAGTAATTCAAAGTCAGAAGTTATCTCCTTTGGGTTACTGGTCTCTCTGTCACTTGCCATGCTAGATTTGCGTTTTACAAGTTTAGCTGTGTTAGGGAAAAGTATATAAGGTTTTCGCTTAATTACTGTTTTAATGTAAGACCTTGTTATTTCCAGTTTCCTACTCAATCCTGGGATGCCTACAATATTCTGGCTACCTAACACTCTGCTCATGGCCTATTCTCATAAAAGGAAAAGGTGGCGTGGGTCCAAAATTTATAAAGTACTTAAATGAAGCCATGTTTAACTCTGGCAATTTGAGTTATCTATCTTCTTGTCCCCTTGATCATCCCAAACAGTCTGTCATTCCTTCTTCCTTGCTTTGGTCTTGTTTTCTGGTGGCCTTATTTCCTTCTTTATGTCTGTTGATTCCCCCTTCCTGCTTGCTTTAGCTTTATTTGTTCTTTCTCTAGTTTTGCGAGATGAAGGCTGCTCAGGATTGAGACATTTTCTCTGTTCTAAAACAGGCAAATCAACCTATGAATTTTCCCTCTTAGTACTTCTTTATCTGCACATTAGATTTTTCACTTTCATTCGGTTCAAAATATATTTCCTGTATCTTTTTTATTTGATTGGCAGGCTATTTGGGAGCATGTTATTTTGCTTCCAAATGCTTTGAGGCTTCCAGATATTTATTATTTTGATTTCTAATTTAGCACCATTTTGTCAGAAAATTATTTAATTTTTTTTTTAGCTTAAAGTATCTATTTCATGGCTCCTTTTTCTGTTGCTGGTGCAGGACTCTGTAAATGATGGTTAGTTCATGCTGGTTAAAGTCTAGATCCTTAATGATTTTCTGTGTGATTACACACTGATGAGAGAAGGCTTTTGAATTCTCTGACTAATTGTGGATCTTTCTCTTTGTTCTTACACTTATATTTTTGGTAAGTTTATTTCTAATTTTTATGATGATACTTTTTTTTAGACACGGGAGTGTTGGGGATTGTTATGTCTGTTAGCTGTTCTACCACTTCATCATTACAAAATAACCCTTTCCCCTCAGAAACATTTTCTTGCTCTGAAATTCAACTTTTTATATTAATATAGCCCATAATCTATTTTCTTTTGATTACTATTAGTGTTTTGTTATTCTCTAACTATTATTTGTGTCTTCCTAGTTAAACAGATTTCTTATAGGCAGTATATAGTTGGATCTTGCATTTTGTATGATCCAACAACCTCTGCCTTTAATTTTGGGGTATTTTGAACATTTTTATTTATTATATTGGAGTTAATTGGAGTTTTCTGTCTTTCTCACCTGGTTTCTTTTTATTCTCCATCTTATGGACTTCATTTGGATTAAAGATACCTTGTGAATTGACTTTATCTCCATTCTAGTTAGTAATATGTAACTCTACATTATCGTGATTGCTGTGTTAAGTTTTATATGATACATTTGATCATAATACAGTTTATTTTCATAGGATTTTTCCATGATTTTGTGCACAGTAGAAAAATCTTTAAAAAGTATTGGTATGTTTCTTCCCTTCAAATTTTAATTTATTTATTCTCATTCACTTTGCTTTTATATTACTTTCATCCTTGTCTTAAATAATTATCATTCAAAGAGATTTAAATAAGAGAAAAATATGTGTTATGTTAAATATTTATTTACATGGTTTCAATTTCTAGTAGTTTATTCTTTCATTTAGGGGAAAAAATTGAAAATTTCACATTATTTGGCTGTGTTTTCTTGATGGGTTTCCTACAACATTTCTTAAAATGTAGATCTGTTGGGAAAGAATGTTTGCATATCTGAAAAGTATCTTCAATGAATTTTCCTTTGAAAGGTGTTTTTGGTGGTAGGAGAACAATAAGATGATAACTTTTCTTTCTCTGTTTAATTGCCTCACACTTCCATTGTTTCTGATGAGAAAACTATTATACATAAATAAATCTTTCCTCTGGTTTCAAATTTAACATTTTCTCTTTATCTTTGGTGATAAATAATTTAATTTAAATGTGTCTTTATTGTGCTTTCTTTATTTTTTTTTGTACTTTACTCAACTTTTTAGGTCTATAAGTTGTAGCTTTTATGAAATTTACATCATTTAGTCATTGTTTATTGTTCAGTCTTTCTTATTTCTATCTAACCATTGATAATTACTACTGCTGTAGTCTCACAGACCATTTATTCTTCAGTGTTTAATTGCTGTTAATTCCTGCCCAAGTGTTTTTCATTTCACATAGTCTATTGTCCTCTACACATTCAGTATAAGTTCATGGATTTCTCTCTCCTCTCTTCCTCTCTTTTTCCTACTCACCCTCCCTTCCCCTTTCTCTCTTTCTTTTCTTCCCACTTGGATTATGCAACCTAATGTGACATCAAACTCATGATCCTCCTGCCTCAGTCTCCTGAGTAGTGGGACATTATGTGTCTTTTCAAATTTCTGTATCTTTACTTACCATGTTGACATTTTTAAAAAGTTTTTAAATAAGTAAAATATAGTTGTGATAATTGTTTTTAATGACCCTCTCTACTAGTTATATTATCCATTGCAGTCTTTGATAAGTTTTGGCTGATTTTTATCCTCATAGTGGGTTGTATTTTACTTTCTTATTTATTTGTTTTTATTTATTTATTTATTTGGTCATTCACCTCAGCAGAATGCCAAATGCCAAATTACTGAAGGAGGGAGGAGGCCTTAAATAGAGGCTTACAGCACAATGGGAGAACCCCAAATGGCTGAAGTTCGCTACCGATGTTTTACAATCTTGCATCTAAGCTGTTAACGTCCAATATGCAGGATACACAAATAAGGAACTTCTCTTAAGCATTCAGGAGGGTGGACACTGGCAGGGAATTAGTATAGGGAGGACATCAAGGTCAAGGCCAGCAAGCAAAGTAAGAGCTACACAAAACGGGAGCCAGGGCCCTACAGGTCCCCCCTTTTACTAAAAAATGAGCTTCTGACTTAGGTTGCATGGGACATCAGCAGGTCACCTTACCCGTCATGGAGACACCTGCCCAGGCCACACAGGTGCTCTGTCTCAGGTTGGTGAGTGCCCCCCAGGCACTACCCCTCTCTGAGTACTCATTATCATACCAGCTCAATTGTGTGTGAGCTGCAGAGTTAACTGCTGCTAAAGATCTCAAAGTGGTGCTGGCTTGCAATCTGTGTGTTCAACACAGAAAAGACCAACAGAAGTCCTAACCCACCCATAGCCAGTAGGCAAAAGGCAACTGGGCCATTCCCTTCCTTAACGAGCCTTACTGCAAACTGGAGTCCTTGTAAGATGGTATCCCAAAAGCAAATGGAGCTTGAGTTTATAAATTTATAACTTTCAAAACCAATCAAAATGTATATAATTATTGAATTAAATTTATCATGCCCAATAGAGTGAAAGATAAACTAACTGTGGTAGCTACTTTTGCTGCCAGGGTCTCCACTATGCTAGCTGTAGTAACCAATTATGAAATGGTAATCCTGGAAACAGTAGCAGTGGTGGCCGCCACTGCTATAACAGCAACAACAGCAACAGCGATGTCAAATTCTCTTCTGGAGTGTGGGAGCATCCACTGGCATGGACACAACTCCAGGAACACAAACCAAAAAAGCCCATTTTTCTTGATCCCATCACAACTTAAGCTCTTCTGGAGAATCCAACTACATGGTTACAGTTCCTAAGCTTACATTAATGCTTGCCAAAGCTGGCCGTATTGGGCTCTCAATCCCCATTGTCATCAGAAGGGGAGAGTTTTTCATGAAAGCCCAATAGGTCTCTGCCATGTTGGGCTTCAGCAGCAGCCACAGGGCACACAGTGCTCAGGAACCCAAAGAGAAACTTCATTGTCCTGAGGAAAGACACAAACAGAACTCCGGGCCCACAACAACACCAGATCGGGTCCCCTCCAAGTGCCAGTAGAAAGATCCTTCCATCGCACCAGAGGGTGATTTGCAACAGGAGCCCTCCAGTGCTTATCTGCAGTGGATACTCCATCAGAATCCACCAATAAAAATTTTAAATATATAAAACAAGGGAAAAAATAGAATGTGGAGAGGAATGATGAGCCCCTAGTTCCCTCCTTTTTACATTAGCAAAATACATTTTTTAATAGTTCAAATTTTGTTTTCTTTTTATTTATTTATTTTTATTATTTATTTATTTATTTATGTTTCTATTATCAGCTTGATACAGTATAAATTCATATCTTAATAGTGAAATGTTTCATTGAGGCTTACTTAGTAATTGAGTAAAACCAAAATTTATTATAAGCCACAGTCATCCTAAGGTCCCCCTTACTTTCTTTTTATGACTGATTTTTTTCTTGTTTGTTTCTCCTTTGGGACAGAATCTGACTGTACAGGCCAGTCTGATTTTGACCTCAAAGTCCTCTTCCATAAACTTTCTAAAGGATGAGATGGACACTGCTGTACCTGGCTGCCTTGTAAGTTTTACTGGGTGCTGGACATTCTTATATTTATCTTGTTGAATACTGGAATGCTTTTATTCTTAGAAGTAGGCTTCAGGTTTGTTCTGGTGAACAGCTAAAGTATTTGGAACTCATTCTCCTTATTAGCTTGTATTTTAAAATCTAAAATGGCAAATAACATAATCTAAGGATAGTTTTCTTCCTAATAAGACAAAATCATTCTGCATGACTTGTGAGTTATGAGGTTCTAATTTCTGGCTTCTAGGTGTTTGGGCACTCAGTCTATCTTTTGCTAGCTCCTTGAATATTTTTCTTTAACAACCATTGGGGGGGCATACCTCCTCTAAATGCTTCAGTTCTATAATTTATCCTTCCTCTTTCTTCCTGACATTATCTGCCATCCTTGTCCCCTCCATCAATGTTCAACACAACCCCAAGAAACATAAATAGATCTAGAAGCTGCAAAGATCTTGAAGTACCAGCTTTTACTAATTAGAAAACTTTCTCGACAATGCTTAAGTAAGGTTTAAAGTCATATTTTAGAAAGTAAGGTCACATATCTTGGGGTAGGGTTTACAAATAAATTGTAGACATAGAGGCTTCTTCAAAAGTCAAATAATTAGAGCAACTTTTTAGTAACAGAAGATAGTGAGCTGTACTTACACTTCTGATACATTGCAATTTTGAGGACGTAATTCATCCCTGTGATTGCTTGTTGTGTGATTAAGGGATCTTCATGGGAACACAAAAGTGAGAGTTCTGCTGCCAGGAGACCTAAACATGGAGCATCAATACTTGGCTAATCAGAAAACAAGGGAGAAAGTGCGTTAGCTTTGTACAGTCAACATTAAGTTTGCATTGTATCTTCTTAAGTAGGAGGGTACCACTTAGTGATTTTCAACCTATGTGTCGTGATCTCTTTGGGGATGAATGACCCTTTCACAGGAGTTCTCTAAGACCATCAGAAAACATGGATACTTACATTACAATTCATAACAGCAGCAAAATTACAGTTATGGGGTAGCAATGAAAATAATTTTATGGTTGGGTCACCACAACATGAGGAACTGTATTAAAGGGTCACAGCATTAGGAAGGTTGAGAACCACTGACCCAGAGTCTTAAAACCCCGTACACAGATCCTGGGCTCTGCTGTTGAGGCTCAGTTTCCTGTATTGTGAAATGAAAGTAAACAAACATTATCTTTGTCTCAGGTGCTGTAGGGACAACTGACAATGTGGGGGACTTCCTAGGGGGCTGCTTGAGATAATAGTAATTCAACTTTAGTTTGTATTTCCTAATCCAGGTAGGAATTGGTAGGTAGCAAATGCCTCTATGGAGGAGTGGGACAGTGATGGGCAGAGACCTGTAGGCATCTCCCATTAGTGTTCAGCTCAGGTCTGAAGTTTTGAAGAATTTCAAACTATTGGAAAGCTCCAATTTTCCTATGTTAAATGCTTTAAATGACTATATGAGTGAAATGTGAAGTTTTCTTTTGTGCTTCTCATTTCCAAGATATTGTTACAGTTGATGCATCTCCCCCTACACCTTCCTTAACACATTAGCTAGTTGAGTATTTCGATTTTTGTCTTGAGTAATTTTTCTGGCTGAGTTAAGTGCAATTACAGGGTCATAAATGGAAATGAGATGGATGGTGTGTGTTTGTATGACGATAGGAACTATTTATCAGTGTGTGGGATATAGTTGTGTTTTTTAAAAGATAAACTGCTTTATCAGTCTATAGCCTTGTGCAATAGTGGCATGGTCGTAAGATATTTCTTGTTACCAAGATGAGGGATTATTATCCCAGACAGACGATTTTAGTATTTGCTGTGGCAGGTGTTGGTGGTAGAGGTTAAAGTCCAAATACACCCTCTAGAAAGATCCCAAGGCCTGCTCTCTTTCTTTCTACCATTTCTGTGGCATTTCTCTGTCTCTGTCCTCCCCGAGTCTCTGTGAAGTTACCCAAGGCCATAGTCGAATTGGGGTGCTGAGAGTGGGAGAAGGGGAGACAAAATAAATCTGTTTCTTCTTTGGGTGTTCTTGAACTGTTTTCACCCACACTATTGTGTGACACTATCCTGGAACATTTCATTTTATGAGTGCTACAGCCCAGAATCTAGAAGCAGGTAACAGAACCCACCTAGTTCTAGAGAGATGTGCTCTTATACCTTAGGTGTTCTGCTCCTTGATTCAGCCTATCAAGCTTCTTGATTCTGTTGACTGGCAAGATCTTAAGGAACACTTCTGTGTTTTGATCCTAAGGGTTGGTCATGGTGGAAATTTCTATGTTGGACATGATAAAGAAATACTTCCTAGCTTAGATCATTGAAGCTGGGGACCAGTTGTTTACAGGGAAGACCATAAGGGTATATGCATTACAGTTCTTGCCGTTCATACTCTTTGATTATTCTTTCTCATGAACATGTGGATGTAACTTATGTAACTTTGAGTGCTTATGCTTGCAATGAAAGCTGATGGTAATTTCTATTTGCTGTACAGAATCTAGCATAGTAGGTGTGACTGTCTAGATTGCTAGCAGGGCATTAGTTAGGATTGGCCAAGAGAAAAAGAAGGCAGGTTGTTAAACTGCACACAGTCCTTTCAGATGGGTGCCAATCACGGTTTTGCCTTTTTGACCATCAGGCTTTTTGAGAACTTTGACAGGATATGCTCCACTCTCGTGGAAAATTTATCCAAGGAAGAAAAGGCCCAGAGAAAAGTAGCTTTGCTACCAAAGTTAGGGAATCCTGATCAAATTTCTACCTTCTCCCTTTTTATTGCAGACATTTACAGATCTATCTTACTGATCTATCAGGCAAGATATGCCCATGGGTGAAATTATAGCATGACTGTCTGGTGCAGGGTGTAACCAACCACTTGTATTGGATTTGAAGCTCTATCCAAAAAAGGAAATACATGCCTAGTACTATAGACCTTTCAAATGCCTATGATGAAGGAGGTCACAGACCCTAAGGGGAATCTTCAGCACTGATGTGTTGCTAAGAAGACATGTAGCCAAACTGTCTTCTAAATATTTTTATCATGCCTGCATAGTTGCTCTTCTCTCAGTCTTGCTCAGAGAAGCTTCTTTTTGCAGCAGGCAACAGTCAACGTGAAGACTCTCAACTGGTAAGTATGTTAAGAATAGTGACCATTGAGAACCCAGCTTTAAATGGCACATCTCTATCCACTCCCTACCCTGTTCAAAGCCCCAAGAATTCTTGGAAAATAAAGAGACGCAATAACAAGACCCAGAGGACAGGGAGGAGTGCTTTGAAATACTATTTTCTTAATATGCCATAGCCATTGTAATCATGAAAGTAGCAGCTTTGGCTTCCTGCACAGGACATGAACTAAATAATAAGGCATCAAAGTGCGAGGGAGACCACTATGTAAGGAGGTGAGCAAGAGGAGAGGATGGTAAGAGAGTCATAGGGGCATATACATATATAAAACATATGTATACATATATATGTATATATAATACATTGTATATGTGTGTGAAATTGTCAAAAAATTCTAAAATTGAAAAAAATATCGTAATAATGCTTCATGGTGGGGGTTTTAATTGGAAGCAAGGCTCATCACCTAGGTACTTTGCTTTGGAATAGTTAAGGCTCCTCTCCCCCCTCAAAATGCTTATCGAAGGTTTTCAGGGAAAAGGGAATCTTCACATGTGACCACCAGTGAGTTTCATTTATATTAAGGGAGGGCCTGCCTAGTATTTAGCATAAGTTTCCATTTAATCCATTCGATTAGCACATACAAGTCATTGTCTTTCTGTTTCTTGGCTCTAGACTCCCCTGGTCCCCTTTACAGCTGTGCCATCCCAGCGCTCATGGATGCGACCCCATGGGCTCCTCTGTTAGGTGTACTGGTTATCATTTTTTTGTTTAGTCTGCCTTCTGGGAGTTGACCAGTGAAGGCCCTCCACTGATTCCTTTCATTGCTGCATATACACACATTAAGGAATTAGAGCACTGTCATTTTGTGAGGACAATGGAGAGGAAGGAGGTAAATGTGGACAATGTGCCAGCTGTAGCTCAGAGTTCTGAACCCACTTTTTAAAGGAAGTTTATTTCGGCTTATGTCTGCAGAGGGATAAGAGTCCATGATGGCAGTGCTATAGCAAGGCCTGTATCAGGAGCGATGAAGACCAGCAGAGGACCAGTTTGGTGAGCTGGACATTAGAGTCTCCTTAACTTCAGTCAGCCTTTAGGCTGAGAGCTGCACTACAAACCCGTGAGAGACGCACCAGCCAGAGGCATCTAGTTATTATACCTAGACCCTGAACCACAGAAACTGTTGGATAAATAGGTTTGTGGTCTAAAGCTACTAATATTAAATTGGTTATGTAGTTTACAGACAGTATCCAAAACAGGGTAATGTGCTACACAGTAATAAATAACAAAAACATAAGACCTGGCCCACATTCTTCCTTTGACTTTTCCCTGACTTATCCTTGCCAAGAGCAAACTTTGCTTCACTTGAACTTGATGGGACCTGTTCTTCTCCTTGGTCATTTTGTACACACTGGTGTCTTATCGTCTCTCCTCTCTTGGTTTGGTCCTTGTAGGAGGGCAGCAGCAGTGCATTTATCTTTAAAGATACCAAAGGAACAGAGATGGAAACACTCTTTCTATTGGTAGCTCTATATAACATTGCTAGCTCACATGCCTCCACCTATTAGAAGCTGCCTCCTTTAACGGAATGAACAGGTATTCATGGGATGCAGGGGAGCTTCTCTACCCTGACAGCTACATTATCATGTGAGGGGAATCATCATTTTTAAAGGTATTTTTAAATAAGACACAAGTGGCTGTCAGGATTCTTCAACAGTCTACCTAGACAAGGGTGGTTTATAAAGAAAAAAAATCTCCATCTAGTATCTGGACAATACTGTAGCACAGAGTGTGTAGTCACGTGTAATCAAAGAACAGACAAATATTCTTTGTGCCAGATACTGAGAGAGACATACTAGGCCTGTGGGAAGCCCAGCTTTTAATTTATTAACAGTAGTTTGGATTATGTTGTTATATGTATGTAACTATATATATGCATACTTATAAATATATAATTGTTTTGTATATAATATATATATATATGTTTATATATAAATTTCATTGACCTAACTATTTTTCTAAGACATTATTTTTAAAAGAACGCTGATTTAATGAAGTTTATGTTCTCAAGACCAAAACAAGCAGTTGGTAGCTAGCAATGCTCTGAAAAATGCTGATGTGTTGCCATCTGGTGGCCTTTAGTGACCACCGCAGTACTTGGTCATCCTATTTGGACTTGCCCAATCTGTTGTAACTAACCATGTGTGGCTTGGGAGTCACACTTGAATGTGTGTGATTACATTTTTCACACCTGAAGTGTCCTGTGAGAAAAGGAGCATGTCCTATGCTACAGTAAGAAAAAAAAAGAAGGGAATGTTCACAAAAGACAACTTCCAAATGTCTGACCTACTCCCTGGGAGTGGCTTCATGGAGTATATCAAAATTCAGAGTGAAGTGCATGAACAGATAGCAGATAAACAGTTGGCATCAAATAACTGCTGAGTGGATAACATGTGTTAGGAGCACAGAAAATATATGAGGGATGAACTATTCTTAAACCTAAGAACTTAATCAATAATTAAATGAACATTAGTAGACTATATATAAATGTTTTATATATAAAAATCAACAAAGGACCAATTCAGTGAGCTTGACATTAGATTCCCTTTAACTTCAGTCAGCCTTTAGACTGAGAGCTGAACTGCAACCCCATGAGAGACTCACCAGCTAGAGGCATCTAGTTATTGTATCTAGACCCTTGACTTTTGAAAATTACTTAAGAGGATAAATTAGAAAAGGAAATATTGACATAAGCATCCAAGAGGGAAATGTTCACAGTGTGAGGTTTCTGAGAAAGTGGCAATGATGTATTCAAAGCTGAAAGCTTCAGAAAAGCTTGACAATTAGAACATCTCTTCAATTTTCATATGAAATTCAGCAATCAAGTCTAATTATATCCCAGTATTTGTGAAGCTGTGAGAAATGGACTCTCTAAGAATACAAACCATGTTTTAATGACCCTTACCCACTCATGCCTGTCTTCTAATATTACTCCACTAAGTATGTCCGGATAGACCTGCCCACAGTGCTTTGCATTATGTAAGGCAGAAACATTCAAACACACCTTGATAATCATCAACTGGAAAGTAAGATACATCCATCACAATGTACCCAAACCATGACACACACAGCATATTTAGAAGTGTGAAATAAAGCTACACATATTGAGATATCAATGGGACATGTTTACAAGCCCAATGAAGAACCATAGGTAAACACAGTGCAACTGTAGTTAAGAAAAACAAGGTAATGAACACATCTTGACAGGACACATGGAGTCAGAGTTCTCTCCAGTCCCACCTGGTCCCGAGGTCCCACTCAGCCCTGTGGTCCCTCAGCTGCTTATAAAATAACCATTCAGAGGTTTATATTATTTACAAGCTGTATGGCCTATGACAGGCCTCTTGCTAGCTAGCTCTTATATCTTAAATTAACCCATTTCTATTAATCTATGTTTTGCCACATGTTCCGTGGCTATACCGGTCTGCTGGCATGTGGCTCCTTAGGCAGCAGGCTGGCGTCTTTCTGGACTCTGCCTTTCTCTTTCCTGTCTTTGTCCTTGGATTTCCCACCTGTTTCTAAGCTGCCTTGCCATAGGTCAAAGCAGCTTATTTATTAACCAACAGGACAACATATATTCACAGCATATAGAAAAGCATCCCCCAGCAGACACATATCACACTGACAGGGACAGAATGCAGTAAAGAGGGGAGTAAGGGAAGGTGTAGACTTTAGTGTGGTGCACAGCACAGGGACTCAAGGATTCGTTATTGGGGACACAAAAGTCATTGCACTCACAGATAGCATTACAAGAACCAGGAATGTTAAACACCCAGGATTGTCTTTTCAAGAAAAATATGTATAACCTGTTTTTCTATCCAGAAGGCTGGAAAGGGAGGTGGGTAATAGCCTGGCAATCTACACTATCTGTACAGGCAGATTATTCCAAGCTCCCATGAGCAGGATTGGAGGTGGCTAATAGTCTAGGTGACCTTTGCATTATCTGTATAACCAGGGGCTCCCCTTAGCTCCTACAACGAGTACTAGAGGTGGTTAATAGCCTAAATATAGTAAATATCTATACTATCTGTATGATCAAGACCACACCAGATCCTTCCCAAGGTCCTTACGATAATATAGGTAGCTTTACTCTACAACCCATCTTCTTGGAAGAAAGGACATGTAGTTTGAGAAGAGGTTTGATATAATTATGCCTTCTTGTACATAGAGGATTGTATTACACCAGGAAACTTCCTTTCAAATCATACTGTACTTAAACATGCTTACAATAACTGATTGGAGTCAGACTCTAGAAGCTTGAACCAACACCAACTAACTAAGTAGTGCTGAACTGGATTTCCTTCTTGCCTCATGTGGATTGTTACTCTGTGGGCCATGGTATTTGCCAAGACCCCCCACAATTAGTTGTATGTATTTAAAATAAAAAGGTTTAAAAATACTTTAGAAAACAGGAAAGAAGATGAGGCTGAAATATGTGACATTACAAATAACACTGGTTCAACAGAGAAAAGTCTAAATAGCAAAAATCTGGGGTTTTAACATGCTCATTGTATGTGTATAGAGTAGAATGCAGTTAGTCAATAACTGCTCAAATTGAGTCACAGTCATGTAGGCTGTTGACACTTTCTAGACATCCCTGCCTCCTAGCCCATTGGCACTGAGCCAGCATCAGTGATCTCAAGACCTAAGACCTGGCAAACAGACCTCTAGAAATTCAGTCTTGAGTTAGTAGAATTTCTGAAGTCAGTGACTTACATATTTCTTGACTCTCTTGGATGCAAAGATGAGCACTTTGGTGATGACCATCATTACTCGTTCTTGTAGGTACTCGTTATTCTCACTCATCCAGGTGACCATTTCCTGTTGGAAACATAACAGCTGTTTTAGAACCATAGTATTTCCATTTTTGAAAGGCTTGTCTTTGTAGTTTCCAACTTTACCAAGGCAGGCAACATCATCTACTGATTAATCCAAATTTGACCTCAGTTTATCTAAAATCGCAACAAAAACCCCAGCTTCCAACTATTGTACAACTTCCACTATTATGCTAACACATTTGTGTTTTATTAAATTTATTCAACAGTTACCAATGTTCACTCTAATCCAAAATTTCCCAGTATCATTAAAGGTTTTGTATGAGAATATGATGTTATGCCACCTCTTTAAGTTCACACTTTCCCTTTGAGAAGCATAGTATTTGTATTTCACCTTTAAAAGAGTACTGAAATGGTATCTGATCCAGAAATGTCAACTTACCTCAGAATTATTCCGCCTCTTGCTTTATATATTCTGGAGATAGCGTCTTGGGTTCTATGTGCCTGCAGAACTACCACCATGAGGACACTGCTAAGATTCATGGCTCATACCTTTCAGAGATGTGGATGGAGCCACACCTAGACCTGCTTGAGTCCTAGCCAGGACAGTGGAGGTATGGTTTGCTGGCACTTGAGGGACAGAGTGTCCTACTGATGCAGATCAGTTAATGTTGTAAGTACCTGTCCAGAAACTGTGCCCTTGAGGACCTAGCTTGCCTCAAAGATCTCTGAAAAACCTTCAGGATCCATTTCCCATTGTCCAGATGGACAGAACCTGGCTTTCTCCTGTGCAGATCAATCTCTTGAGTGAGCAGTCACTTGATCAGTTCATTAGCATTCTCTCTCAAGCCCAAGCTGCTATACTTGCCCAGGTAAGAGTTACTTAGATATTTACATTCTACAGCACTTTTATTTAAAACTTTGATATTTAAATCTTGTTTTCCTCCTCTTCTTTTACTGTAACTGACCAAAAGAAGCCATGTAGTGAAATGGACACTTTACTACTTAGGAACTTCTTCTTCTGGATAGCCTAGTTCCAAAAGGGAAAGGATCAGATGAAATGGAGCTGCTGACAACTTAACTTCTCCTTCCAGAAGAGGATTTTATAGTTCTGCCTTCCTCCAAGTTCTAGAACACAGGCATACTTTCTCCACATCTCCATAGCTGTGTGGCAAGGTTATCTTTTATTCTAGTCTCCAGCATCTCATTCCTCCTCTCTGAGACTTCATGGTCTTTGTTTGCATCTTTCTACCAGTGTCCCAGCTGGGATCATTTAAGTAGTCCATAAGAAAATTTAGGCTTCTGCTATAGCTCATCTTCTGATTCCCACAACAATGATTCTAAATTTCCATTCATAGTAGCAGAGAATTTCTCTAGCTGCTGTCTCCAAATTCTTCCACCCTGGTTATCCACTTCTCAAGCTGATTTCATATATTTATGTATTGTTATAAGAACAGTCCTATATCTTGGTACTGATTTTCTATCTAAGTCCATTTCATGTTATTACAGAATATCTGAGACTAGGTGATTTGTAAAGGACTTTAAGTATTCTTAGAAACTCGTATAATTTTTGAGGCTATGAAGTAGTTCCAAGTTGAGGAGCACTTACCTATCAAGGGCCCTTCTTACTGCACATCCCATGGTGGGAAGCAGAAGGGGAAGAGCACGAAGGAGAAAGAGAAAGAAGGAGACAACTCCCTCTTTCTAATCAAGAACCTAGTCTCATGATAGTGGCCTTAACTGCTGCAGGAAGACTTCTCATGATCCCCCCAACTCTTAAAGTGCTCCACACTTTTGCATTGGGGAATTGAGAAGTGAATATATGAACCTTGGTGAATGGAGTCAGTACAGGAAGTGGTATACATGAAGGTAAACTGTACGTGGACATGTGTGCTGGTTCGTTTTAAATGTCACTTTGACATAACTTCCAATCACCTGTGAGGAGAGACTCAGTGGAGAAATTTCCTAAATCAGGTTGGCCTCTAGGTGTGTCTGAAAAACTGTCCTGACTGTTGAGTGACACAGGAAGATCCGACCCACTGTGGTGGTATTATTACCTGAGCAGGTGGTCCTGGACTGTATAAATAAAGAAAACTAGCTGAGCAGAAGCAGCCTAGCAAGCAGGCACCAAGGGCTCATCATGTCTCTTTCCTCTTGATTGCTGGGTATGGTGTGCTGCCTGAATTCCTACCATGGTGACTTTTCTGCAATTATGGATTATATCTTTCAATTGTAAGTCAAATAAACCCCCTCCTCTCTTAAGCTGTTTTTTGTCAAGGTGTTTAATCACAGCTACAGAAATCAAACTATGACAGAGTCCTTAGCTCCAGCAGTGGTGGGACCGAACACAAACAGGCATCATCACAGAGTTGCCATTGTTCTGTAGACTCGAAGAGAGCTTAGGACAATACTGGTCTTTTACTACCCCCAACACCCACGTATTTCCACAGAAGGCTTGACTTCTCAGTAGCCATTAACACCATTTCCCCAAATTTAATCTTTTAATAATTCAAATAAAGGAAATGGTTAACTTTGTGAGTAATTTCACATCATTGAATGTCTAGAAAAAAAAACCACTCCAGCCTCCCAGTACTAGATGGAGAGACAACTATGGCCAATTAGAAATAAACAGAATGTGCTAAACTGTTTATATTATAACAAAACCATCTGCTTTGCTTTTACCTTTAAGATCTGTATCTTGTAGAAGTCTTTAGACACTAAAATAATAAGAGTATCTTCATATACATTGAAAATATTTTCATATAAACTCTGAAATATAAAACAGAAACATGCCATTGGCCAGCCGGCCTTCAATTAAATTTCACCAAAAGTGTATAGCTTTGCATTTAAGCATCCTAGTTTCCCTCGTAAACTTAAGATAAGAAAGGGGTGGAGGGGGCAATTCTGCCTCTAAGACCTCACTCACTAGCATCTTCCACTGCTCACTAGCATCTTCTATTGCTCACTAGCATCTTCTATTGCTCACTAGCATCTTCCATTGCTCACTAGCATCTTCCATTGCTCACTAGCACCTTCTTTTGCTCATTGGCATCTTCCACTGCTCACTAGCGTCTTCCACTGCTCACTTGCATCTTCCACTGCTCACTAGCATCTTCTATTGCTCACTAGCACCTTAGTTTGCCCACTAGCATCTTCCATTGCTCACTACCATCTTGCATTGCTCACTAGCATCTTCTATTACTCATCAGCATCTTCCATCAGCTGCAGCTCCATCTTAAGGGCTCACATGCACCATGTAACAATGTGGACAAGACAGAAACCACAAATGTTGCTGATCTTAGGATTCTTTGTTTCTGCATTTTTCTGTGTCTGCCTCTCTCTTCCCTTTCAGAACTTCCCAACAAGCTCCTTTGTCTTGCTAAACCAATTAGTTCAAACTATCTTCACTCATTTGTTCCTATAAACCTTGTGCAATCTGTTAAATCCTTATAGTCATGAGGATTTCAGGGATATGGGCTGGTGAGAGCAAATATATGATAGACAAATGATGACATAGGCAGGAGAGTCTAACCAGAGAGGTGCACCATGTAGCTTGCTGTGGTGTATGCCAAGACCTTGTCAGTAGTAAAGGAAGAAGGAGCCTACCTGCAGGTCCCTGATCTCCTCAGGGTTCTTCCCAATTGATTTCACTGTGTTAAGAGTTGGTAAGGAAAATGCCTTTTTGAAAGATAACTCTGTTATCCTCAACTGTGACTCAAATTGCAACAAAGGATCAACAAAACTGACAAGAAAAGGGAATATAATTACTAAGTGAGTAAGATTTCAAATGCAACCTAACTTAATTAGTTTTCTTAGCACAAAAGTACTAAGTGTAAGGTACAGTTTGGGCTTTATATGACACCCAGATTCCTATATTCTCTTAACAATGATGCTTTAAATATAAAAGAATAATGTTCTCTGAAAGTAATGGCACACAGTTATTCAGAAATCAGAATATATTTCTCTAGAAAAAAGTTATAAACTGATTACATACCTAGTCAAATCCACAAATCCAGTGTACTTCAGATAACTAGGCAGTATTATTACCACATTTTTCCTAGCCAGTGTCAATATTTCTGGTATTGTGTGCATCTTCAAATTGATTGCAAAAGAAACCTACCCACCGTAAGCCTTAAAATGTATCTGCTTATCAATGCAACCCAGAAACTCTTAAGAGAGACCCCTTTAAACAAAGCTAGCTGAAATGGGGTGAATGAATCAAGAATAATTAAGTCCTTACGATTATGTTTTAAATCTATCACACTTGCAAGATATTTAGGTAGTGAAATCATAGATCATTATAGCTTACATACCTGGAGTTCATGGCCAAGATAATGGATTGATCACATAGCATGGTTGAGTATGTATCCAATAGGATTTCAGCTTTAAACTCCTAAGGAACTCAGAAAAAACAAAACCCAAAGAATCAACAATTACAAAACAGTGATATTCATGCCACCATGTCCAGCTCTCCCTTTTACAGAGAATAAAGGAAGCAAATCAGATTGTAAATGGAAGATTCATAGCATTAAAACTGGAAGTTTTGTGACTCAGACACAGTGTTGATGGCTTTTTTTTTTTTTTTTTACAGCCGACCATTATTCTTTTATAACATTTCAGATTAAACTTGTATGGGATGCTCTTTACCAGGTGTGTGTCTGTATGCCACTGAAAAGTTTAACGCAATCTAGTTGGTATAGAGTCAAGCTATGGAAACGTTAGCTGGGTAATTGAAGTTTAGTCTTAGTGTGTATCACCTAAATTTACACTAGAGAATAAGAATCAAGTGCCATTTAATGAGCAACTATCTAACATAACAATGTAACCACTAAACATGGTAATTAAAGTATATGTAATACTTCCCTTCCAAAGCAAACAAGATTAAAGAATATGTAATGCTTCCCTTCCAAACTGAAAAAGTGACCCCAATTAGCCAAAGCAACCAAGAGAAAAAAGAGTGGAGGTACCAACACGTTGTAAAATAATGAGAGAGTAGGCCTGAAAATACACCCCCCACACACACACAAAATCAATGAAGTGCAACTGAGATTTCAGGAATAATTTTACCAAAAGATAGTCAGTCTACCTTAGGTGTGAGTACCAAGAACATAAAATGGCAAAAGGTCAGTCTCAATATGTATTGAGGTATATGATGCTGTGCCATATACAAAAATTAAGTGGTAATCTACTAAATACTTAAATCTAATATGACAACTATAGAACTCTTGGGGGAAAAAAAAGCAAGGAAAAAGGTCCCTGAAATTGGCCTTGACTTTGAACTTTTTGTTGTGGCATGAAGCGTAAGCTACAAAAGTGAAAGCAAGCCAGAGTTTAGTTAAACCGAAAAGTTTCTTCAGAGAAAAGGAACACTCCAAATATGGTAAAGACAACATGTGAAATGGGCAGAAAGAATGGAAAAGCATACACCTAACAAAGCATTGACGTCCGAAACACATGAAGAACTTAAGAAAGACAAATGGCCACTTACAATGAAGACTTTCAGCAAAGGATGGCTGAGGAACCCATCTTTCCTATATGTACCTCTTCTGCCCAGCCAAGCCTCTTCTGCCCAGCCAAGCCTCTACTGCCGCATTATTCCTGGTTTTAGGGCCAAGGAAATGCTTGATCCCTATTTCTGATATAATACAGTGACATCTCTAATGGGATCACCTCCCTCTACTGTACAAGCAAATGCATATGACTGATTAATTGATTAATTGCTACTTTGGGAAAAAAATCTCTTCTCTATTTGCTTCATGCTGTTCTTGAATCTCCAGGGTTGAGTCTTGTGGGAACTGTGTGGTGATGTTGCAAGACTGCTTGCCTGGGTATTAAATTAGAGGAACGTCCTGACTGGGGTCTGAACTAAGAAAGTGGCATTCCCCTTCAGGCACAGCACTCTATCTCAGACACAGCCATTAACATTTCCCTAATCCCTCCTCTAGCAAGTTCACTCGGACTGGATGGCACAGAGAAACAATTCTCCTTTCTCTAAAATACCTTTTCTTTCTCTTACAACACCAAATATGATTTTATTTAACCTTTGGGGAACGATTTCTGGCAATCTGTATTGTTAGCATACCACATATTGCTGGGAGAAAAGAACATCTACACTTCAGACAACCTTCACTGTAACATGAAGCTCTGTGGTAACTTGCCTATCTTGAAATTAAACATCTTTGTGCTATTCACTATTCCACTGAGCCAAAAATTCACTGACTCCTGTCCCCTTAGCATGGACTAACCTAATAGTCTGTCTTTGAATAGTTATGATCATCCAGGGCTTTTCTCATAAATTAGGATCCAACTGGCCTTGTGCCCTTGGAAATCAGTTAGTAATATTCATAATGTCCTATAGTGCATTAAGAGGCTAAAAATATAGATTCTGACTATTAAGCTACATTTCTAGATATTTGTCATCAAGTCCAGGCACTGATGTTTTTTAAAAGTCTTCCAGGCAACTCTGAAGTACAACATCCTTCCTTACTAGATGGCTGTCTGTTTCAATTTCAAAATTTTACCTATCACTTTTGGTTATTAATGGTGTCATGGATAACTCCAGGGAAACAATGTCTTCTAGACAAAACAGGACCGATGTACATATGAACTCACAGAGACTGTGGCAGCATGCACAAGACCTGGACAGGTTCAAGCTAGATCCCAGCTAGGTCCCAGCAGTGAGGAGGGGAAATCAGTTTTCTTCAATGGAGTGTCACCTGGTATATTAACCACACTCTAGGGCAAGACCAATTCCCCTGAGTAGTTGGCCAACATAAAACAAACTTTTTGTTTCATTTTGGCATATTTTTGGTTGTTTGTTTTGATTTCAATTTTTGTGGGTTTGAGAGAGAGAGAGAGAGACAGAGAGAGAGAGACAAGAGACAGAGACAGAGACAGAGAGAACATAAAGTTAGACGAGTAGGGAGGTGGGGAGAATCTGTGAGAGTTGAGGGAGGGGAAATATAATCAAAATACATTGTATGTGAAATTTTAAATAAAAAAGCAGTGTCATCATCAGTGTTAATTCTGAATTCTTTTATTTAAAGTCTCTAACATCATAATTCATTTATTCAGTGCCCTGTCCCCAGAGCAAGCAAGTGTTCTGTTTTTTAGTGCCAACAGCCTTGGTGCCAGGCTACTAATTCTACTACCAGACTTGGAGTTTTTATACTGGCCCTGCCACTTAATAATTATGTCACCACAGGCAAGTCACCTCCTGCCAATATTTGCTTCTTTTCAAAGTGGGGATGACATTTGCACATCCCCTAGAGGGCTGTTGTGAGGAGTGAATGATTATGCGATTTAAGCACTCAGAGATGCAAACTAGTACATACACCATGAGTGCCTACTGAGTATTACCTGAAGTTGTTGCTTGACTGGGGGAGGTTGCTCTGTCTCTCTGTCTCTGTCTGTGTCTCCCTAGGTCTCTATCTCTCTGTTTCCATCTCAATTTCCTTCTTCCTAATCTGAGGTTGTAGCTCTGAAACTGAGGAATTTATTTTCCTTCTTCCTTCTTTCCAGGTGCCCTTCCTCCCTTCCCTGTTTCCTTCTTTCATCTTTCCTTTTTCATTCATGGCACAATGTTGTATCTCCCTCCCACTGGTCATCACTTCTGCCCCACAGGTGGCCATAAATCCCTGCTGATGAAGAACTCATTCTCTTAGGGAAGAGTCATGGCATATGGTGCTCTTTGCTTTCTTGCATACCTGTGCTCCATTCTCTTCCTGGGAAATACTTCACTTTCAGCTGGATATTTCGCTGATCCTACAACATCCATTTAATATTCTCTAACCACAGGTCGATTTTGAAGGTCCCTTCAAGCATGTGTCTGTCATATCTGACCTGCTGTACCTTCCTTATAGGTTACTGCCGTTTCTTAGCACACCTTCATCCACTTCTCCACTGGACTATAGGCTATCTGAAACTACTTTCTGAATTTCATTTTGTGTTGCATCTCAAAACTACAGCATGATGTTGGACATGTCACAGATGCTCTAAAGCGACTTTTGAATAAATGAATGAATGAGTGTATGAATGAGTTTTTCTTTCTCCTTTGAGATGGGGATGTTGACAAATGATCTCATGTCATGGCTAGCAAAATTCAACTCATCTATCAATGGTTACCAATGTTTTAATTTTAATTATCAGTGATTTTTTTATACCTAGGATTATAATGAAACTATGTATAAAAGTTTTAATAACTATACTGGCCCATTTATGAAAGGTTACACGTTTTATTGTTGTGGTATTCCTTGTACTAATTTGACTTAAATATTGATATTAAAATGGTGATAGAGTTTGTTAAAGGTTCAGTATTTCAGTTTATGTTTTTTAAAAACTGATGGATGAATACTCTCTAAGACAGTGGGTATTTTACACACTTCAAACAGCACAAAATGAATAATTACTTCTCTGTCCTCTAGAATGAAGGACTAGTAAAGTGTCCAAAGGCCTAAAAAAATCATAGAAGATAAGTAGAAAAGGAGAGATGCAAAGAAAGATGACTCCTGAACAGACAAATTATGTCATGTGATGTCAAGATGATAGGGAAGGGCTGCAGTTTGGTGATTTCCACAGTACTGGTGTCAGAGTGAGGAGACTTGGAGAGCCATCAGGCTGTGGTGGTGGGTGGAGAATCAGTAGGCTTGGGGTAGACCCTTTTCAATTGGTGCTGAATGTCATTTCCAAATGTTCAGGAGAGTGATTGAGAACATAATGCTATAGGGGAGAATAATGTAAAAGATAGCTCCCCACCAAGTTGTCTTCAACTGTACAAGTTAAGTATTACTTTTACATGTTTGCAATAGAGGCAGCGAGTGTGATTTTTTTCCCCCTTGGAGGAGATTTCAGATGCACTAATGAATATCCTCATAGAATGTCACATACCACATGGTACCACTTCACAGTGGTCTGCAAAGTCTGGAGACGAGTCACTAGGCAGAAAGAGGAAAGAGAATATGTAAAGAACAATGAAAATAATTATCTTGTCACTTTAGTTAGACCTGATCTCTAAAACTGAACTTGTATTGACTTGGATGGTAAGACCACACACACACACACACACACACACACACACACACACACACACACACACACACACACACCACAGATAAATTCATCATGTATTGTCCAGAGCAACACTTAACAGAATTTAGCAAACACTCGGTTGTCACATGGAATAACAATGTGCCATACTAAGTGGCATTTATTCTAAACAGAGGAGTACAGGAGCCTATGATCCAATCTATGATTTAAATTCCAGGATTAATTTTTATAAAAAGAAAATGTTCATGATAGTTTTCATTGTGGCAACATTTCCTGATAAGGCTTCAATCAACTCTTGTTGACTCTTCCAAATACAATAGATATGTAGTTAATTTCCTAATATTGTGAACAGAAAATGGTTTTCTGTGTAGATATCACCCAGTATTATCAGAAAATTTAATATATATGTATGTATTAAAGTTTTCCACTTCTATTTTTTGCATATGACCAGAGAAAATTTGCATTACTTCTATTCTTATGGAATTTATACTAAATACCTATCATAATATATAGTGACATGCAAGTGCTGTGAATATCTTACTAGGCAACAAGAGCAGATCTCCTGTGTTCATGGATAGGGTTCAATATCTGAACCTCCCTGTCTGTGTCTGACACACACTCATACACACACCTACGACATGCATGCACACACACACACACACACACACACACTCACACACACACCACAGACACATGCACACACACCACACACAGAGAGACACACATAAAAAACACATACCACACACACATACACACACACACACACACACACCACAGACACATGCACACACACCACACACAGAGAGACACACAAAAAACACATACCACACACACACATATACACACACATACAGAGACACATGCACACATCCCCCACACAAATATTCTGATAGTTCAGGCCCTCTCTTCCAATAGTTCCTCTATCCCAATAGTTCAGTCCCCAAAGCCTTACTTGTGTTTGAAGTGTCTTGTGCCATGCTGCCAAGTGACTTAGTCTTCCAATGATTCTGGAAGAGAGTCCACAGCATTAATACACAGAGTAGGGTCTTTCCTTTTGTTTGGTTTTACTCCACCCATTTGACACCACATTGTTATAAGACGTGGAACTTTCACTAATTTCCCAACTTAGGTCTCTAAGTACTGCACACTCAGTTTCCTAACAAACACCAACCCTTAGTTGTTTCTGTTTCTCTAGGTCCAAAACTAAGTGTAGGCTCTTCATGGACTCTGCTCAGGGTCCCTCTTTCCCAGCCACAGTGGTGTGAGCCAGGACTGTTGTCTCATCAAGCCAGACATCCTCTTCCAAGGTCACTTAGGTTATTGGTATAACTCACTTCTTGGGTCCATCAGGCCTGTGCCTTGCTCTTTGGTGGCTGTGGCTCAGCTCCTAGAACCCACCTCTAGTTCCCCATCATAAAGACCCTATCCATGGGCCTCCAATGCTGTCTTGTTTCCAACACACTAGGGCAAGAATTACAGGGCTCATGAGGCTAAGTAGGGCCCACTCACATATTCTTTCTTTAGATTAATTCCAAGATAACTTATTATTGCCCTTAATTATAGCTGTGAACCCCCTTTGCCATGGTGCTTAATGAAAATGAAAGCTAGCGTGTTCAGAGACTTAGTTCTTATCTTTACCTTTATGAGGCAAAGAACACTGAGGTTTGTCTTGGATTCTTCTTACAAACAGGCTTTTCATAATGGAATTCCTTATTAATTGTACTTTTTCAGTGTGTGATTCTTTGTAAAACAATAACAACAACAAATTCATATACACCACCTTGAAGCTCAATTGACTTGTTCTTACTGTTCCATTTCCAGTAGGGTTTCCCCCTGTCTTTTTATTTTCAATCTTTTGAAAGATTTCATTTGTAAATGCTGCCACTATAAACTGTATTGCTGGGATTTAGTTATAATTTAACCAGATTTATATCTTTTTATAGATATCCAATCCACAACCGTCTACTAATGCAGTGGAATGTCACCACAGTTTAAGCTATGTTTTGTAGTTGTTACTTTTAAATCTTTTACTATATTTTCACATTGTACATGTGTTTGTGTATGGAAAGAGAGAGAGAGAGAGAGAGAGAGAGAGAGAGAGACAGACAGACAGACAGACAGACAGACAGACAATGAGACAAAGAGACAGAAAGATAGACAGACAGAGAGGAGACAGAGGCAGACAGACAGTGTTCATGTGCTCTTTTAATATGAAGGGTTTATATTTTTTAAATAATGATTGACTTACTTTTGATTTTTCTGAACTTTAGACAGAACTTGTTGCTTCCCAAATAGGAGTTGAACACAAAATTTTTTCCCTTCTATTTTTTCCTCTTTCTCACTCCTCATAAAATATTGGACTAAATTACTTAATAAACTCTCTACGCCTCTGTGTTTATAGTACTTGACTAATAACCATCTCCGTTAACATGAAGCAATCCTTGCACATATATGACCTCTATATCTCCTATTTTACTATTTTATTTGCAAATCATTTACACACGTTTGCTCATGGCACTCTCACCTCCCTCTATGCTTTAGCTCTATATTTAAATAAACCCTGTGCACATAGCTGGGCTTCCTTTGGTCATTTCTTGCTGGGTCAAAGTTCATTTTCTATTAGTTGATTGAAGAGCTCCTGGCAATTGCATCCCTTGCATTCTTCTTATGTTCAGAACCGTTCGTTATACTTTACTGGATAGAGCATTGGCATTCTTGGGCTACTGCATTTTCCATGGGTTTTTCTTAGATATTGCTCCGTTGTCCTTTAGCTCTGCTGTGGAAGAGGCAAAGCTTGGTTCACTTTTTCCTTCCTTCTGTGTGGAACTTTGCCATGGATTTTCAAAGGATAATTTGTTTCTCTCTTAAGGACATAACTTTAAGAGGGTATAGGTCTCCACTGATGGCTTTAACTTCTCTAGAGGCATAGTGGGCTTTGTTATCTATTATTCAAAGCAGATTTTAGTTAACTATCTTGATTTGTGTAATGTTGGTTTGTGTGTGTCTCTCTCTGTGTGAAATACCAATTCTTCACGTCCTTTTAGCTTTTCCCAGTCTTTTCTACATGCTTACTATCTTTCTGGCACTGTTTCCTTTGTTTCTGACATGGACCTTGCTCTATTTTCTTCTCTGCTTCTCCAAGTTGCAATGTTTGTTCTCTAAATTCTTCAATCTCTACTTTTGAAGCTCACTTTATATGGGTAAAATCCAGCCATTAAATGTAAAGATCTCACTTATTTACCTTTTAACATTTTTTCCCAGTAATTTAAGTAATTTTTACTTAATTGGCATTTGTTACTTCACCATTTTTAATGGAATCTTTTTATATCCTGCATTGATTCCTTTAAAATTATTCCACGTTTGCATCAAATGCTTAGCATCATGGAGGATCACCTTGTGCCAGAAGTAAATATGTGAATTTGATAGTTAACTTTACCTTTGATTAGCACATCTTAATTGTACAGAATAAGGGGTTTCATAATGGTGTCCCTTGCATATATAACATGTTTTCGTTATCTTTACCACAGGCTACCCACTCTCCTCTGCCTTTCTGCTGATCTTTCTTTTTGCAATTTTCCCCTTTCTTGTCTTAAAGTCCAGATTCTGCTCCTGAGAGAGCACCTGGGATAGTTGTCTTCTGAATCTGTCCTACTTTGCTCAATATGATGACTTCTAGCCCTACAGACTGTTCTGTAAATGACATAATTCTTTATGACTGAACAATACTATCTGTCTACTAATGGTTGACTAGGCTTATTCCATAACTTTGAGCTTTACTGTTTGCCTGCTAGTTTACTGGTAGCCCTAGAATGACTGTAGAATTGACCTTCCCCTGCCCATTCTCTGTCTCAATAACTTGTCCATCGTTTCCTGTTTAGACCAGTTTTACTAGCTTCCTGCTAGTTCAGCATTGAACCATGAGTATATTCCATTCCATTTATCTAAGCTCTTCATCTTTTCCTTACTGTTCCCATCACCCAAGAGAAAGTCATCATTTGCAGGCAGTAGCCATGGACCTTGGTATGGATGAAGTCTCACTTTAGACCTGTTATATTCACTCTCAACTCCACTGCTATGTCCCATAACAGGAATACATGTACTTTTTAATTTCTAAATTTTCCATGTTTCACTAAAGGAAATTAGTGATAGATTAAGCTATACTTTAGTGAAATTTTGTGCCTCAAAATTCCCACATGAAGAAGTTATGATAGGTCTAGAATTTTCTCCATGATATAATTTTTGATATCTTGTTATGTGTGTGATTTATTTTAATAAATGATGACCTATACTATTATTGATGTTTTAGAAAGTGGTTCTCTGTCAGCTTACACTGGCACTGAACTTATAATCCTCCTGCCTCAGTCATTCAACTACAGGCATGTACCACCATGCCTAACATACCGCCATGCCTAGTTCTTTTATTAAACTATCCAGTCTCTTGAGTTTGTCACTACCTGATGAACTTTTCTATTTCCTGACTTATTGAAATCCAGTTTTAGTGAGGGAAAAATGTTTTCTGAAGAGAAACAAAATTTTAGAACTTAGCTGTTTAGGGAAGACATTTTTCAGGGGTGGAGGGTATCTGCTGATAGGTGGTTTAGTTAGAAGATAACACAAGTGCCCCCAGTATTCACAAAGGAAAAGACAAGTGATCTAAGATGGGAAAGAAAGTAGATATTGTGATGGTGGATTTTGTGTGCCAGCTTCACTGAGTATTGGTGTCTCAGCTAGGTGTGCCAGTGGGGATGTCTCTGGGAAGGAGAGCCCGTCATTTCAGTTGGTGAACTGTACAGAGCATACAGCTGTTCCGAGTGTGGGTGGGCATCACCCCATCTGTTGAGGGCTGCGTAGAGCACAGCAACCATGGAGTTTCCCATTTGTTTTCTGCCTGGCTGGTTAGCCCAAGACACTGGTTTTCTTTGACCATTAACATTCTTGGTTTCATACCTTTACAATTGGCTGCAATGTTCTAGTTTTCTGGCTCTTGGAATATCAGATATCACTCTGTGCCATTGATTTCCTGGGTTTCTAGCTTCCACAATCCAGATTGTGGGGCTTTTCTGTTATGATTCTGTGGTGAAGTGATTTCCTAACTTTAGCCAAAGTTTTATTTTTTCTTTTAATGAAGCAACAACAATAACTACACACAAAGAAGAAGAAGAAAGAGAAGGAGGAGGAGGAGGAAGAGGAGGAGGAGGAAGAGGAGGAGACGAGGAAAAGCAGGCCTTTGGCTGCATCCAGAAATAATGAAACTCCACTTACTGTCTACAATTTCTCTGTGATCTCCGATGACACAAAAATAGTGAAGAGAAACCCCGTTACACAAAAGGAAGGTCCTTTGGATATTTATCAACCATGAGATTCCTTGGAAATGTTGACATCTGTCATGGCAACTGAATGAAAAGATTCCATTCTAGAATGGTTGTGACACCTGGCCAGAATGTACTCACATATCTACAGGGTTGATGATTCTCAGTGTCGCTACTCAAGGGTACTTCCAGATTCCTAAAAAGAAATTCTTCATTTGGTTCAATAGAAGTTGGGTCAATTTGGATAGAAGATCCACAAAGATGATCTAATGGCTGAGAAGTATGTGGAGTGAGCATTACTCATACTTGATTTTGCAGAAATACAATCCAATTACTTATTATTTTCCAGCTAATAGGTAAAAATAAAATAAGAATAAGTAACAAACATTTTAAATATTGGCAAGAAATTTTTTAAAAAATTATATTTTCTTACTCAATTGGTAGAAGATTTTATAAATGGATATAAAATAAGTCATAGGGCAGTTTATGGCAAAATCGAAGTCTACAACCTAAAATTCCCAATTGCAGGTCTGTTGACCACAGAAACATTTATAAAATTCATGTACAATGAGCCATTGTTATCTGGTTATCAGCCATCTGGTTATCAAGGCTGATGCTAGGTTGGCCTGTATGTGTATCTCATAGCTGGTGGGGCCTACACAGTCCCTGAGGTTATGCCACAGGCCCACATCACAGCAGCTGGCAATGCAAACAGACATGAGTATGTCTCACTGGGACACAGTCCACTGTTGGTGTTGCAGATTTACAAATTATGACCATGGGTTTTGGCCCTGGGGCAAGGGTCACTTGATTCTGTCTGGTGTTGTGGTTCACTCTGGTGGACCCAACACTAGTTCCCAGACAAAGTCCTGCGTTCATTTCTTCATTATACTCAGCTCCATGTTTGGGATCCTCCTCTGTACCATGTGACAACAGCTGAGTTTGGGAGATGGGTGGTAGGAATAGACCCTTGGATGCCAGGCTAACTTGTGTATAAATGCTCACCCCCCGTCCCATTAGGCCACAGGGCAGGAACTATGGGATCTGTGCCATGCTAGGTCTCACTGTGGCTTACCTCATACTAGGTTCCAAGGCCTGCTGTTCATTCTTGTTCCTTATTCCATGTCTCTCTCCATATTCCATTGCTTAGAATTGAGGGAAATGTTGTGTAGATAGTTCTTTCTTTCCTGTCATCTTTAATGCACTTGTTACCATATGCTAAAACCAGGTACTATGGTCTCTCACTTGGTTGTTTTTGCTGTTGTGAATGTAGTTTGGTATATGAATGGTCTTCAGATCCTGTAAAAAAATACTCACTGGAGAGTCTTCCTTGGCCGTCATCTTGCCTTATCTCCTTCTTTTTCTATTTTTCAACATGAAAAATTAAGGTTTAAGTTTTCTATCTACCTATCTATCTATCTATCTATCTATCTATCTATCTATCTATCTATCTATCTGTCTGTCTGTCTGTCTGTCTATCTACCTCCCTACCTATATATCTACTTATCTGTGGACAGAGGCTTCATTCAGTTGCTGAGGTTGGCCTTGAACTTGTGATGCCTTTGCCTTAAGATCCTGAGTGTCTGGGATTGCAGGCCTGCACCAACAGCCCAGTTATCTTCTTTCCTGATAACTACATTTATTGTTACAAATTTTAGCTCTGCATTATATAGTTATTTGTCATGTTATTGAGTTACTGAATAGTATCCCTTCATTTTCGCCTATTATATTTATTATAGAAAGTTCTATTACCAAAACAAGCCAACAAAAATTTTATCCAAATGTCTTCAATCCTTCAGTTTCAAAAAGTGATTTTGCTATATTTAGAAATACTGGTTGATGTGTGTTTTTTTTCCCTAGTGCTTTGAAAATGGCATCCCACTGCATCGGTCCCCCGTGGTTTCAGATCACAGATCAGGTTACCTTGATTGATGATGGCCTGTTCTAATACAGTGCCTATTACTTGTTTCTGTGGAGATCCTTTAGAACTCATCAGAGATTCTCTTTGAAGTTTTCTGAGCTTCTTAGAATTGATGGTTTTCATTAGATTTGGGGAGTATTGGGCCATTATCTTTACAGATTTTTTTCTACCCTTCATTCTCTTCTCCTTCTGAGTCTTGTATTACCCATAAGTCAGTGTGCTTCATGGTGTCCCATAGTAAACTCCATTCACTTTTCTCTATTTCTGTTCTTTAGGCTGGATAGCAACAGACATATCATCAAGTTACTGATTTTCCCTTCTGTTACTCAAATACGTTATTGAGGACCTCAATGCATTTTTTTATTTATATTATCTGACTTTTCTCTTTTGTGACTTCTATTTGATTACCATAGACAGGATCTCATGTAGCATTTGATTGTTTTATACTTTTTGTTGGACACTGTTCTTGTAATTTCAGTCAGTCCTTTATACATTTTTTTTTTAGTTCTGTGACTGTATTTATAATAATTTATTAAAAGTCTTGGCCTAGGGGCATCTGAGACTAGGGACCTTAGTTTGAATCTCCAGCACCCACATAAAAAGCTGGGCACGATGGCACATGCTTGTTATGTTAGTGCTGAAGAGGCAAAGGTGGTAAGATCCTTGGAGCCTGCTGGGAGCCAGCCTTGCCCGTCAGTGAGCTCTGGGTTCAGTGAGAGACTCGGTGTCAAAAACTCAAGTATAGAGCAATACAGGAAGACTTTGACTTGCATACATATACAAACATGTACACACACACACACATACACACACACACACACACACATGCACGCGCGCACGCGCTTTACTTAATTAGTTGAACATCTATGTGTATTTTTTCCTGTGTCTTAGACACAGGGAAATTTCACCGAAACCTGGATGTTTTAAAGACTGTAATGCAGTGTCTGTTTGTTGTTACTCTTGCTGTTAGTGTAGATGGGATTTCTTTTAACTTTGTGAATGTAGCAAATTTCCTCAGTTTATTATCCTGTTGAGTCTATTGTATTTGTCATGTGTGACTACTGACTTCTTTGCTCACTTAGTAGTGCTCTATTGAGATTATATAGACTTCCTAAAAGTCTTGGAAGTGTCTTCCAGTCTTCATCAAGATGATGATGATGATGATGATGATGATGATGATGATGTGTGTGAGTGTGTGTGTGTGTGTGTGTGTGTATGTGTGTGTGGTGTTCAAATGTCTTTATGATTTCCAGCAGTTCATAACTCTGCCTTGACTTTTACTTACTGAGTGCTGAGTCTAACGTTCATTATGTAGTGTGAGCCTGGGGTCTCTAGGGGACGTCTTTGGCATGAAGAGAGACTTGCACGTATACATAGCCTGGGGATACACACCCAAAGAGTGTATCATCTTCACAGTTCCCTGTAGACAGGTCATCCTCTGACTTTGGTGTTTGGTCAGTAGCTCACCTGATGCACTTGGCCTTGTCAGCCAAGGCAGCTGCCCAGCCAAGCAGTTCTTGTGGCCTGTTTTAACAAACAGGGTGGGAACAGAGCTGCTGCTTGGAATGAGCTCTGGGTCAGAGCAGATAAAGACAAATCATGTGACTGCTGTTTCTTCAGGGAGAAGGTAGACAGGTCCAATAGCATGGCTTCCTGGAGAACTGGTGGGACAATCTAAACCCTTTCACCTCCCTAGTGCTGGCTCAGGTGATATTTTTCACAGTCACGTTGGTTGTGAAGTTGTTAGTTGTTAAGTCTTTTGAGGACTAGAAATACAAGATGGTAACAGGCTAAATAAGTTACCACAGAACCAGTAGTTTCCCTCAGTTTCAATTGTTTTTCTTGAGACTTTAAACCGAAAGAAAAAAAATGATTTCAAACATTGATTACTACACAGAATTCTGGAAAGTTTGATTTTTGATAGTACTGGTTTTGTTCTCATTGTTTTTTATAAAGGAACAGGTTTTTTTTAAGAGTAATTTTTCATAATTCTACCTTATCCATAGCACTGTAAATCTGTTGTTTGCTTGCATTTCTGGGGCTTCTTGGGTGCTTCTTTGGACTTGTTATTTGTCTCTCCCTTTGTGGGATGACTACAAGTTTTCATTATAAAAGGCTAAAAATGTTGCATGTTGGTTCCATGATTAAAATGGTTCACATCTTCCTGTCCTGCCCATGTGGGTAGAGGTGCATACCATGGACCCCCACTATATCCACCTTCCTCAGCCATCAAGGTTCCAGCTTCCTTGTCATTTTCAAACTCGAATTTCGGACATACACCTTGGAGGATCTGTCTTTATCACCACCTCCATCAAAAATGAAAAAGAAGGGAAGAAAGAAAGTAACAGAGGAAGACAGCATGCATCTTGCAAATATTTACTCTGTAAATCTGGGAACCAGGGTTTGGAGGGATCAGATATCCACTCAGGGCAAGTGCAGGACATCCCTGTAACCATGATAGTGAGCATGCACAAAGCAAGGAGGCGTAATTCCAAACAAGGATGGAACAAGGATAGTCAGCCACTGGGAGGTGGGTATAACATTTTTTTTTAATTTGGAAACTTTACTGGAAAAATGTTCTAAGAGAGATGAACTGATTTCTTTCTGCAGTGGAACTCAGCAGGCAAAATAATGCACTCACAGCATACAGCTAAGTATAAATAGCTACTAACCCCAAAGAAAAAAAATTAATTTTGGTGTATAATAATACATAATATATAATTAAAATACAGCTTAAATAATATGGGACATAAGACAATCCTTTTAATATGGAACAAATTATTTTGTGAAATAAACACAGTATCAATGTCGGTGATGCTAAATGGGGCTGGAGTGGGAAAATAAAAAACCAGTATCAACTTTGCCCATAATATTTTTCATTCTTTTAGTAAAGAAAATCTTGACACATGAATGTTTGCTATATTATTTTCAGTATGTAAAATTTAAGCAGAAAGTTGTATTGGATTGGAGCCCTGTGTTCTCTGGGAATTCCTTTGACTTTGTCCAATTTTTTTTTTTTTTTTATGATCTATGAGTGGAAAGAGAACAAGAGACAGGAACGAGACACATAACTGCTGAACCACAGTTGGGTCTGCTGCCTGATGGTTTTGAAATGGTTTTGCAATGTGGAATGTCACATTCTGGGTTTCATTCTGCTTTTTTATAAAACAAAAAAACAATAAATTAAAATAGAAGAGAAAATGTGAATGTTGTTGGCATCTTCCTCTAAAACTCCCCTAGTGTGTGTCTTTCTGCTCTGGCCCACTGAAGGGAACTGCCCACAGCTTTCCCACTTCACCCCCAGGGTTGCATATATAACTCCTTTCTAGGTTTTGAGAGGAGAAGGGAGCTAGCCACATTATAATCTCAAAGTCTGGAAGAGTTTAGAAATCATCTTCCAGAGATTTCTCATATAACATGGAACCACTAGGTGTCACTCAAGATAAAACTTGGAGGCATCCGATTAGATGGCATAGAGAGACATGGAACAGGAAATCATGTTAATGGCAAAACTAAGGACACACTGAAAAGTGGCTTCCTTCCAGGGCAAAACCTACAGGAGACAGCTTCACATCCTCTGTGCCATATCTATGCACTGGTTGGAACCAGACTGTGACATAAAAGTAATGAAATAAGCTCATAAAACTGCTCAAGAAGCTTGCTGTAGTCATGACTGTCAGGACAATGGGGTGACAATTCCAAGCCTCAAATCTGCCAGAACTTCTCCCACAAATGATGTCTGGAGTTTTGACAGTTGCCCCCAGGTGGTAACGTGTCAAATAATTTGGCATCTCTGTAGACAGGGAGGATTGAGATGTGGTATTTTTAGCATATCCACTTTTACTGTTTGTCTGAAAACTATAACTAGTATTCATTCATTCATTCATTCATTCATTCATTCATTCATTCATTCATTCAGTGTACTATGAAAAGAATGAGTTAAGGGTGAGAATTAACACTGATTTAGACTATCTACACTATGCTTTCTGTTGCTTGGTTTCAATTCCTTTTCATTTTTAACACAATTTTCGCCATAAACCAGGCCTTTATTTTGATGATTGTTTCATATAGGCAGTGTTTACAGAATCTGATCACCAATGGCTTTTACTTTGATTTCTCACTGTCCTGTTCAACTCTTAAGTGGAAAGCCTCTTCCCAGGGATGACCATGACATTGCTGGCATTTGCTGTTTTAATGGACTGGAGTCACATTAAGTAACAGAATGACGGATATCAATTTAAACTCCCTGGTTTGGTGCAGTGACCCAAAATACAGCTTTCCTCAAAACCCAGCTCTCCTTCCCCAAACTAGGGCAAGGCCCAGGCAGCACACAGCAGGGGGAGGTGAACTCACTTCCTCTGCTCCTGATCTGGGCTTGGCAGGAAAGGGAGGAGGAGGCTGTGACAGCAGCTTGTTCCCCTTGAGTGGCGCTTTCAAGTCATTCTCAGACTTGAGGAGAAACACAGCCCTGCAGATCCTTCTGTGCAACCTAAGCGTTTCCTCCTGGCTGATGGGGCACCCGTGGAGCTTTATAGACTTCATTTTCTTTAATGGAGGCAATTTATTAAATACAATCTCCCTCTTTCTCAATAGATGGTTGCTTGGAATAAAGATTACATTTCTTTGCTTCTCTATCCTGATATGTGGTCCATGTACAAATTCTTGTAAGCCTCTAGAGCAGTGGCTTTCAAACTTCCTAATGCTGCGACCGACCCTTTAATACAGCTCCTCATGGTGTGCTGACCCCCAACCATAAAGTTATTCCGTTGCTACAGTAGTTTTACTACTGTTATGAATCGTCATGTACATAGCTGATATTCAGGATATCTGATATGTGATCCTTGTGGGGGACATGACCCCCCCACCCACAGGTTGAGAAACTCTGCTACTCTTGAGTTTCATGTTCCCCGCCTCCCTGTGACGGGGGTGGGGTGGGGGACAAGGGCATGGTCCGAGCACTGTGCACTGTGCAATCGGGTGGCAGCCCTGTGCCGAGACCTTGGTGATCATGGAATTGCTTTGCATTCTGGTGTAGCTTGCCTTTGGATTTCACTCACCTGAGACGGAGACTTCTCACATCCTGTTCTAGGCTTTATCACTTGCAGAGAGATGTGTTCTTAATTGACAGAGGAAAAGAGTGAGCTAAATTGAATGATGCAAAGCATCTGCAGTAATAAGGTCAAGCAAGATTAGAACAATAGGCTTTCTTCCTGCATCTGCATCCTGAGTTCTGCCTGTCTTATTTGTGCAAATAGCATCTGGCGAAGTTCTGGAAGGGGAGGAGAAAGACCCAAAATAAGGGAGTCCCACTGGAGGTCATCCTTCTAGAAAGGGTTAGCTGTATGTCTCAAAGTGCAGTCTGAACATTTTCAAGAACTTGCTGTTATCTAACATACTTTCATACATTTTCTACTTACACACTTGTATGCATCTGTGCACTTATTTACATGTATTTTCTTCAGTTTCTATCACATACTTGTATACATGTTTACAGGTTACCAATCAACTGACTGGCGTCCTTTCACAGCTGGAAACGTGGGCAGGGGGTGGAGAGGCCTGCAGGGTGGTAGCAGGAATGGGTGGCAAGAGTACCATAGCCCCCCCCCACACACACACACGCCATGCCACCCCACCTAGAGCGTGAACCAGCTTTACAAATGCTAATAGCTCCTTTGTGGACCTAGGAAACAGAAATTCTGTGTGACTGAGCCTGGCTTGCAGCCTCCAGGTGGGCTGACAAGGATTCTTTAGATCTTGACAGCGGCCTGTGTTACAGCTCTTGACCTGCATATCCAAACCCTTGGCCTTAAACATCTGACAGCTCTCTGGGACTCTGGAGAGCAGAGCCTGTGGTTTCTCTTCCCTGGCTCTTTACAGAAGTTTTTTTTCTTTACCCACAGCTCCCCTCCCTCTGTTTCTCTGCTGCAGCTCCTCTTCCTGTCCGGGATATGCTCACACTCTAGAGGGGCTTCTTCCTCAGCAAACGAGCAGCCTTCACTGCTTGCCTAGACGGCTTAACTGTCAATGCCCACCGCCGTCACGTCGTCACAGCTCTGCTGTGCCTGTTCTCCTGTCTTCATGGCGCCAGCTCAGACCACAGTACTAGAAAAAGAACACTAGAAGAAAGACTTTTCTTGGGCCTTAGTGTTGCATCTTCCAGGGAGGCAGAGTATGAATGTCTCCCAGAGGAGTCATTCAGTGAATAGGGTGTTTGAACAATTCACATAAGAAGCAGAAGTTTGCGTTTTTAACCAACCTCAGTGTGTTAAACTGCTCTGTCCCCTACTGTCTTTGCTTTTTTCCAGGGAAATTAACCCCAGGAGTGCTTATAATAAGAACTTAAATAATTTATCATTAACACTGTGATTTTAACTGAATTATTATTTTTTAGGTTGTAATATAATCACACTATTTCCCTTGTTTCCTCCTTCCAAAAACTTCCCAAATTCCCCTCCTTGATTTTTTTCAAATTCACAGTCTTTTTTCACTAATTGTTGTTGTTGTTGTGTGTCTATCTACAAAAATACAACTTGCCGTATCTGTTAATGTTATTTGTATATAAGTTTTCAGGGCTGACTGCTTGGTTTTGGATAACCAGCTAGTGTTCTCTTCCCGGGGGAAGACTATTTCTCCCACTCTCAGCTTCCCTTGCTTACTTGTAGATCATTGTGTAGGGTTGAGGCCTCCTGAGCTTTCTGCCCCCTACTCCCTAATCCTTGTCCATATTAGCACATCGCTGGTGTCGTGCCTGCTCAGCTTGTGTTTAGACAGTCATGTTGGTGAGACTATGGATGTAGCTTCCGACATTCCTAAGAGGCACAACCACTACTACTATATATACAAGCCAGCATAATTCCTAACTACACTCTAAATATTTGTTCTTATATCCACAGATAAGTGCAGTCCCCATTCCTCATCAAGAAAACTTCTTCTTGCAACAGAGACCATCGCAGAAAACCATAACCAATCAAGATGCAGAGTTGTAGAGCCCAGTTCCTGCTCCTAGGGCTCAGAGATCATTTTTGAAGAGAGAGTAGAAGGATTGTAAGAGTCAGAAGATCAGGGAGTTTGACTTTAATAGAGTTTTAACAATGCTTAACACTTGCCCAATGCTGCACTGAGAAGTGGACCAGCCCCTTTCTGTCTTATATGGATATATAATTTATATATATGCTCTTATACATACGTACCATGCATTACTCCTCACATATGTCTATAATCAGTCAGTTTTTTACATACCATATGCTACCTATAAATTGGCTGTGCAGTTTATGGCAATATGGTTTCTTCTCTGAACTTCAGCTGCTCTTCAGGTCCCTAAGCTGACATTGTTATTTCCTTATTAAAATCCAAGGGAAAATCCACATACAGGAAAATTAATAAACAAACAATGTCACCAGGGTTTCCTTATGCTTAACTTCCTAAAGTCCTTTATCATGAGGATGAATTTATTTACATATACTGTATTATGAAAAAATAAAATAGGGTCTTATTTTCCCTCTAAAGTCCTGTTCTCAGGTGACTAGAGAATGCTTTCCTGTGACGTCCACTTTAACAGCATGTTCCAGGAGCAAAGGATTGCACTGCAACTGCTTTCTTAAATAAATTTATATCACACATTAATATATTAAAGTGGCCGACTAGTTTGAAGTAACGAAATACACATCATATTGCTTAATACAGAATTTTATCATTTAACCTAACATTTCCTAAGCCCCTTTGATTGTGGGGTGACTCTGTACTAGCACACCTACTATTGGTGATTGGCAGAGCAACCTGTGAATCCAGGATAACAGGAGTTCCCTCAGTTTCCTGCAGCCAGGATCTCTGAGCTTGACCTTGGTGTCATTGATTAATGGTGATCTTTTTCTAGCTTGCAGATAAAAGTTACATGAATAGCATTTCCTTACTTCAAAACTGTTCACCCTTAAATTTTGCTTGCATATTTTGTGCTAATGACTGTCTGCTTGACAAAATAAGTAAGCAACAGTAAGTATTATTACTGGAAAGAAAATTGAAAACAGAAAATCACACATACTTTTGTGGCTTATTTTTCCAAAATAAGAATTTCTTTGGTTGTGCTGTTGTATTTACATATATGGCATCACATAGTTGTCAGTAAATTATTCTTGGACCTGTTGTTAACATCTGTTTTGACTCTCTTCTTGGTGAATCTCAAGACCTGAATACGTAGAGAATAAGCTCTCTGGAATGAATGACGGGCACTTGAGGAAGAGGAGGCGGTGGGCAGTCCTGAATGAGGGAGGAAGAGGAGATAGATGCAAAGTTTTGATTTTGTTGTCCTCAAAACTTCAATTATGTCCACTGATGGGCTTTAATGAGACTTGTCCCTTCCAAAATTCGTGTTGGGGTTTAATCCCCATCCTGAAGTACTGAGACAATGGAATGTTAATCTGACTATGATGTGGGTCTTTGTAGAGGTAGGGTCTTTGGCAATAATCAGGATTAGATATAGATCAAGAATGGACTAATAATAATCCTTCATTATTGAATAATGCGATTAAAGGAGGATGAGACAAGAGCAACTCTCTCTCTCTCTCTCTCTCACACACACACACACACACACAAACACACACACACACACATATGTATAGTCATTCCATGTCTCTTCATGTAATGTGCCACACAATCTTCAGATTTTGCCAGCAAGAAGAAAGAAGACCATAACAATATATGGCCCAATAATCTTGGACCAGAACTATAGGCCAAAATCAATCTCTTTTCTTCATAGCTTACTTAGTGTGCAGCATTGTATTAATCAGAGGAGAAAGGACTGACACATTTGTTTCTCCTACATTTACGAACTGTTCCAAAGAAACTTTATTGTTTTCTCTTCTTGGGGTTTCTTTTTCCCCCTACAATTATGTGTCCATGTGTCAGTCAATAAGTCTTTCATTTTTCTCTTTCTTTATTTCTCTCATTCTCTTTCTCTCTCTTCCTTTCTTCCTTCCTTCCCCTTTTCTTCTCCTTCTCCTCCTCCTCCTCCTCCCCCTCCTCCTCCTTCTTCTCTCTCCTTCCCTTTCTCTTTCTTTTCTTATTGTTGTTGTTGCTAGGAATAGAACATAGGACCATGTGCATGCTAGGCAGCTTCTCTTCTACCAAACTACCTAACCATGGTTCCTTCTCTTTTCATATTTCATCATGTATTAAAATGTAAATATATGTTTGGGATGAGTAGGGACCATGGTGATTCTTTTATTTTCTAATATTTAACAAAACTGATAGTGGGTGTGTAGTATTAGAAGCAATTCCTAATGGAAAGCCAGACCTGATGTAAAAACCTTTTCTGGACCTTCCCATTACTAAATTTCAAAAGTAGACTAAAATCCCACTAAATTAAACCAAGGGGAAAGCAGGATGCTGGGCCCTTTCCTAGCATGGCTGTTACAGACTCT